CTTCTTCTTGCACTTTATGGTATACATTCTGGCCAAGGGGAAAAACACAACTATGAATTTCAACATTTGGGAATACTTTTAGAAAAGCTTTCCAAGATGCCAGTTCAAAGTCTGCCATAAATGTTTTTGATTCAGCAGGGGGCATTTATTTAAAAAAAAAAACCCATAAAGGAACTGCCCTTCCTCAGGCATTGCACTCATCTTTTTATACTAGACATTCCTATTCCTTTCATGGAAAGAAGGGAATTAATTTTTTCCATGAATGAAGAGAAGAAATATTTCATTTCTCACAGAGAAAGAAAATACCCAGGTAAATGAGATTAAAACATGTCCTCATGCCTAGTTAGGAAATGGAAGAATGTGGGATTTCCTTTTTTCCTGAATGAGGAAAAGAAATATTGTAATTTTCACAGAGAAAGAAAAAACCCAGATAGATGAGATTGAAGCATGTCCTCATGCCTAGTTAGGAAGTGGAAGAATGTGGGAATTCCCACATATTTCACTGAATGAGGAAAAGAAATATTTTAATTTTCACAGAGAAAGATAAAAAAAAAAATGCAAAGAAAGAAAAAAATGCAGTGGCAAGTGAACTTGCTGCAATTCATGCGCCAAGTTATAAAACAGCAAGTAATTACAGCGGCAACTTCCAACCTCGGTGACTTATTGCAGCAGCAAGTTGTCACTGAGGCTAGTTGTGGTAGTGGCAAGTTGAACAGCTTGCAGCAGGTTGGGTGTGTGGCAAGTTGGAAAGCGGCGAGTTTCACCGACACGGTTTTCCGCATGTTGGATCACATTTTCCCAGACTTCAGCAGGTAAACTTTGCTTACTTCTCATGTTGAGCAAAAATTAGTGGAAATTCCTTCTAGCAGAATGGAATAAAAAAGGTTGATCCTAACTTCAGCTGGTTACAGGAAATGTAAGATCAGGTAGGATATTGTTTAAAATTATGAAGCCATTTGGGTCTTTGATAAATCGTGGTTTTGAATTGAAAATGTTATCAGTTGAGGCGCCAATCATATTTTTAGAATGTACGATTTTTAAATAATTTTCAGGGCTGAGTGAAGTATATTATGTATAACTTTATTTCAACAAGATTGGTATGCTTCTGATTCCACAATTTATTGTGTTCATGTTGAATTCAACTCTGCATTTATTTTTGATCGGGTAAATGCGAAAAAGCCTTTTGAGGATTTAACCTAAACTCTTTATCGGAAATCTTGATTCCCTAGAATCATGTGCAATATCTTTTGCTGACTGCGAATTTTCTTGTGAATTAGTCTGTATGAATTGGGGGTTTCTTAATTATTCAAGCGCTGATCCACGACGATGAAAAATATTCATTTTTACGTTGCAGAGGTAAAAGAAAAGTAGTTTTACTCTTGTGTTGTTCTGTGCCCAACGATTGTCTAATTTTATTTGGAAACCGTCTATAAGGACTTCTTTCACATTTCAATAAATGAGCCAAAATGATGACCAAAATCTTTGTTTCGTAATGGCACCAGTGAAAAATAATTCATTCATGAATCGTTCCTTGTCCGTGGATTCAAACATTCGTATTTTGTAAACTTCCAAAATAAATTACTGGAAATAAGACTTCCATATCAACGCAGTATTCAGAAGTGATGTTCAACCATCAGCAGTTGCGTTCTTTGCTGGCCACGTGATTTGCTGATTGTTGTGTTTGCCATCCGCAGAAGTCCCTCCCGCGTAAAATATTGCAAAAAATGCAGCAATTCCGAAAACGATGCAGATTGAGGTCCAAGCGCAATATTTAGCGAGAGACTTTTTGTCGGTCTTCATCCAATTTGAGCCTTCGCCTGCAATTGTCGAGGGTGTCGCGGATTTTCGCCCGGTGCGTTCAGATGTCGCTTCCATCGGTGCGGAATCCGTTCCCGTTGTGGAAAATAAAGGATGTAACTGCTGTTTACAGGAAGAAAGGAGTATATTTTATTTGCTGGACATGAACTTCAAAAAAGTGAAATTGCAAATGTGAACAATGCCTGATAGTTATTGTCGTGTGTTATCGTATAAGTCTGGGGAAAAACTGTTGACAATGAAAACAATACTGTGTCTGAGCAAATTTATTAATGCTGTAGTATATACTGAAGCATAGTGTTTTTTTAAACAATATATATGCACAACTACAAATTTCAAGGGAAATTGAGTCACATGCACGAAAAAAAATTTTCATTTAATTTTAAGAACATGTTTGACCAAAAGACACAATTTAACCAGTTTTGAGCTCAAATTTAAGAATCTTCAATAAACAAGAAAATAAGGGTATTTTATAGCCTCTTAGTGATCTTGTCCAGTATTCAAATTTAGTGAAATTCAAGAAATCAGAAACACAAACTTATTAGCATTTGTTATTATACAGCAGTATTTCAGACTAAAACTTTCAAGATTCAAAATTGTATTAAAAAACTTGAAGAAAATGCAATTTTTGAGGTTTTCAATGGAATACAAACCATTGTATTGAATCTGTTTTGAATGTATATCGGGAAAAAAAGTGAATTATTTGAAATGCGACCTGCAAGTGAAATTGGATTATTATTCAACAATAAACAAATTCTGCCCAAATGAACGCACATTGTACAGATTGGACTTTGATATGCGTGAGACAGAAACCAACTGTTAATTTTGTTTTAACAATTCATGAAATCTTTTTTACGAAATTTAATACACATCGGCGTACACCGTACAGTATCTCCCAAAGATTGTCAACCCCTAACTGGTAAATTGTATCTTAAAACAGTATATGACTGCTTGTATTTTCAACACTATTTTCTGATCTTCTCTATTTAGCATGAGCCCAGCAGATACTTGAAAAAATATATGGGGAAACACAAATTACCATGCAACTGCTGGTTCTCTCAAATTACCATATGCTCAGCATTTTCTCCCAAAATTTGAGAAATTGAAAATTTGTGTGGTGTATCTTACCCAAAAAGATGTTAATTGTGGTTCAGCACGTGAAAGCGGATGGATGCATTTTATATTCGAAATTTATATAAAGTTAAGTTTTCTCAATCTTGATATTCTTGATAATTATTTTACAAAATTTGATACGCATTTTACTGTAAATTGCTGACCATATCGGAAACTTCAACAATGATCATCAGCGCGAGGAATTGTTTTACCCGACAAAAAGTTGATAATTCCCAGAACAGCACAAAAAATAAAATTATAAAATCACCAGAAAAATATCACAGTTGTTGAAAATTGAATAATGAAAAACTTACTCTCACTTTTTCCCAGGCTTCCTCCCAGAGAACTCGTTTTTTTCAGCAGTGTGATTCAGAACAGAAACTCTGGAATAGCTGCTGGACTATAACAAATTCATGCTGCAAGAATGAAACATAGCTTATCATTTGGTAACTTGCGATTGCGATATGCGTATTTCTGTGGCAGTTGTAAATATTTCCGTTATCTTCTGCCTTACCAAACTCAGCACGGCATTCATTTGCAGAATTTGCTGATACTGAGGAATAGTTTGGATTTTTACATGCTCGCACATCACGTCAGATGGTTTGAATTAATTACTGCATGGAATTTTATTGAAGGACATAAATGGGATGGATTGAGTCAAAATACTTACGTGTCCGTATATGACCTAAGCTGATTTACATGCTGTTGTCATCTGCATTACAAGTTCGAATAAGATAATCTGGTGGTACAATTATACTCAACTCAAAAAGCGAGATCATCCCGAAAAAAGTATCGTCTTGGAAATGCATCCTGTCAAATTTTTTACTTTCTCGATTTGAAAACAGTACGGTTAGAGCAGGTTAATTAGAATTTCTAGAGGAACGAAACCAGCAGAAATATGCTCTCCATACGTGCACCTTTGCGCCAAAAACAACGGTGACATCTATATAGTTGCTTTCGAAGCTGATGAGTTCCAGTTTTCCACTTGTGCCGTGACGCTTCACGCTGCCCGAGCATTGGGTGACTCAGAGTTAGATGGCATCCGAGATGAATGTTATTCTGATTGTGGTCGCGAAAATTTATCTGCATTAATGATTTGTGAACCCCGTTGAAGTGAGGATTATTTCAGCCTATTGCTTAACAGATGAAGAAAAACTTGAAAGTTGAAAAATTTAGATGAAGTGTGATGTGTGCGAGCAGCAGCTTTAGGACGGGACAGTGCTTTTCAACTCGGCAATGGAAATTTCGAAATTCCCCGAAGAAGTGGCGATGTCCTTTTTGATCCCAGGTATTGCGAATGGATTCAATCAAGAAGCTGTGTGAAGTACACAGCACATCCGAGCGGATTTTCTCGGCTAAATTTTTCCAGGTGAGGTATGCGCTGGAGCATTCGCATGCAGTAGTTGGAGTATACTGTACGTTTTACTTATCCACTTGCATATGTCAGACGTCCTTCTGTCGCAAAGTCCTATTATCGAGATCGGTTCGGTGTTCGTGTTCTTTTATTTGGTTAACGGTGTCTAGTTTTTGTGGTGACGCGCATGATTGCACTGGACCCACATAATTTTTTGAATTGATATCATCGTGCGAATTTCAATTAAAAATCTTAACACCATCCTCATTTCAACGACGCAAGGAAGAGAGTCCTACTTTTCTTTGAATACTCGAAAATACGTTCTCCGAATATCCATCAGATGGATGAAAGTGGTTTGTGATGGAAGTGCGTCGTGTATTTATAATCGCGGGTAAATACTTCCGTATTTATTTTGCCGTGAGAGGTACATATCTCATATCCATCCATCTCGAAATTACGATTTGGACATTTTTTTTTTGCAGGAGTTTTTCTTCCGCGAATGATGCGATGTATCGAAGAAAGACAAACCTGTGTTTACATCTCTGATCGAGAGTATAGCACGGTATACCGTCATGGCTGTTCATGTCCCATTCAGGAACGACGCAGAAAAGTGCACATCCGTTCTGAATCATGTAGGATCAGCCTATCTCACACTTGCTCTGCTCACTAGTGTCGATGAGCGTAAGAGTTCTGTTCCCGGACTGCTGAAAGTTGATCTGGACATCCCGGGCAGCCTTAAACTATTCAGCAGAGGATTGGGACAAGAAGGCTACAAAGAGACACGGACTAAAATATTATCGGCACTTCTATCCACTCCGTTTGTTGAGAAACTTACGCAATACTTCTCTCAGTGCTATTTCCACGATTCACTTGATGCGGAAGTTTTGCACGGAATTATCGACGGAGGAATCGTATTCCTGAACGAAGTATTGAATCTTTGTCCGAAAGAAATATCCAGTATCGAAGATTGCTATGGTGCCCTGCTGAAAGTCGGTGTTTCCAGGAATATCCTCACCTCTGTGATAGCCAACCAACTGCGTGATCACTTCGACGAAGTAAAGAAAGGATCTTACCGTGCTGGAAACGGAGCTTGTGACTCGTTTTTCCGTCTCTCGGATTTTAGAAGATGCTCCGTGATTCCGCTTCACGTTGAATTACTTTCCCGGAGAAATCCACCGGTGAAGCGGAGTGAAGTTTTCGGACCTTACCGTGATAGTGAAAAATACCTCAGCACTCATTTCTGCCTAGTCCGCGAAGACTATCAGAGCTACTTTCGTGCAGTCTTGATCGAAGTTGCGGGAGCTATTGCTAAAAGGAAGCGGATTCCGATACAATTACCAAATGCGTACGTTTTCCACAATTGTTATGTCGCGTTTGTTTCACTGGATGAGGAACACGGGCTGGTGTATGCTCTGAAAATTCCATTGTTGAGCCAGCTATCGTCGAGATTCGAATTGATGAAGCGTGTGCCCTGTGGATCCCTGTTAGTGTTAACAGCCGATTGCTTCGCGCGATCCATGATAGCCAGTGTGGTTTCTGTACCAAGCAAAAGTGGAACATGGGACATCGTCATGATTCGTCCGGAGAGTGAAGTTACCGATCTTTTTGCTTGGATCAGTATGGAGTTCATTGTCGTTAGTTACTTGGTGGAATTCAAGCTTCATCGGGGTGTAATGGAGTCTTTGCGGTGTATTCACCTTGATGCTTATCCTATGGCAAAATTCATCGTGTTCTCGATGAAAAGAAGCGTTGAGATGCCGATGTATTTGAGAGAAGCTGCTGTGAAACATACTGCGGATGTGCCGTTGAAACATATTTGTGGTGAAGACTTGATCGCGAGTCCTTCGGAGAATTGGTGGTTTTCTGCTCAGGAAATTGGACTTGACGAAGGACAGTTTCAGGCTTTGAAAGCTGGCATCAGCAAAGAAATCTCCTTGATTGGAGGTAATCCACTTTTTATAAGTTTCTTATTGATACCTAGTGGCTTACGAACCCTAGCCTAAAAAAAACGATGAACCTCTAAATGTACTTCATTCAGCGGCAAAGCTTGCCGATTAGATTTTTATGAGCGTCACATTTTAGCTAACGTAAAATGAGAATCTTTTATTATCATTTAAGGACCTCCTGGTACAGGAAAAACGACGGTTGGTCAGATGATCGTGCGAACAATCATTGAGCGACGTAAGGCATTTTCCATCAAGCAAGAAGGCGTTATTTTGGTTATAAGTGCTTCGGATCAGGCATTGGACAATTTCCTTAAGGGGCTTTCCACTTCCTCAAGTAAAATTATGCGACACGATGATCGAAAGACTGGATCTACGAAAGGGTCTCACAATTCAGAACGGGACCGAAGTTTTACCGACCTAACAGAAAATACCAGGAGGAAATTGAACGAAAGTGTGAAAAACTTGAGGACGCTGTTTGCTGGTGAAGCAGTTCTTCGGGCATCCGTTCTAGCTGAAGTTTCGGAGCTCGAAATAGACTTTCATGCGGGCTTTGAAGTTGCTGATTGGCTCGGAATGCTGGAGGAAGTGAATTCTGATAGTCTTTTTCTGCTTCGAAATGCCGTCGGAATTAAAGAAGCTTCGTTAGAAATATCTGAAAAGGAGATTGATGGGGATGAAATGGAGATGAGCAGCAAAGTGAGCAACAGTGAAAAATTGGAGACGTCGCGAAAGGGGATTAAGAATGATCGCTGTTGTACAGCTGTTGAAAGTCATGCTCCCCCAGATGACGAAAAGGAATTCTTTGAAGTCTCCGTATCATCGACGGTAAGACAGAAAAAAGTTCCATTTTAAAAACGCAATTTTTGTTCCAATAATTTTTCTCCGACAATTAATTTGGACGCTGAAAGGCATTATACAGAACTTTTTTTTTGAATTACTCCAAAACAGTAAATAATTATTTTTCTCCAGTCCCGATAGTTTCTAGGTTTTAAAAATTTATTATGTATAGGGAAATCACATTCTGGCGAAGAACCTCATCCTGCATCGACATTTACTGAGTCCTTGCACGAAAGCAGACTCCACGAAGTCTCAATCGTTATTCTCACGAGCCTGTGAAAAGAAAACATTGCTTCTGGAGCCCGAGTTGAGGTGGACGTTGTATCGTCACTGGGTCACAAGCTTCGTCTCGCAGCGCCTTGAGGAAACCCAGGCACTCCTCGAGGAATTTGAGTGTGCCAGAAAACTCCATAACGAATTGCATAACCTGGAAATTCTGTCTCGAGCTGAGAAATGCGACGTTTTCGGGATTACCGTGTGCGATGCTGTTGAAAATATAGAAATCGTAAGGAACTTGCGTGCTCGAGTTGGTGAGGATTGCGTTCATGTGTGATACCGTTCTCTTCTGTGTGGTGCATATTCTCATATGACGCAGAATTTTCATTATTTAAAAAAATTGTTTGCGTACTTTCCATTAAAGTTTTCCTGACCCGCAGCGCCCTTCTTGCCAAAAATTGTTTCGTGGAGCGCTTTCTGTAAAAATATTTTTTTTAGCCCTCGATTTCCACCCTTCGTCTTTTGCAAATAATATCTTTTGCGTCACCAAAATTCCGAAGATTATATATGGACATTACTGTATATCGTACTGTATATTTAATGATGGAGGCACGAGTGCTTGCTTTTCTTCGTAATCACTATTTCTTTATTTTTGAAGTTTTTAATCGAATTTTACTTTCTTCTTCCTCTATTTTTAAGCAGTTGCGGGTCCTTTGGGGAGTCCATAAAGAATGTTTAAAATCTTCCTTGGGTATCCAAAAATCTCAATTTAAAAGGGAATGTCAAAGGAAGAGAAATTGTATTGTTGAAAAAATAGACGCGAGAAATTCGGTCATTACATGACATATCAGCATGACGATCGTCATGGATTAGACGTTTCGTAAGCTGGCTTGGTGAAGCTTGAATTTGACTCATGATCAAAGAATTATAGCTTGAACTGTTCAGTATATTATGTTCTGAAAAATCGGTGCAATGTTTCTGGTACAACCTATACAATAATTTTTATTTGATGATTTCAATTTCTCTAGTTATCGTCGATGAAGCAGCCGAAATTTTGGAAGCAGCCTTGGTGAGCGTCCTGTCTCGTCATTGTGAGCATTTGGTTCTCCTAGGTACGCTTTTACCTCCGACTTGAAAGAATTTTTTGGAATTAGATTTAAATGGAATAGTGACGTGGTTAACTGGCTTGGTCCATTGCAATAGGAAGTCTGTTATCCGAGACTTTTTCGACTAAATGGATTAACCGATGGGTGCTAATTTTCCCCTGTGTCCGAGACACCATTGATGAGTAAGAGAAATAATGCAGAAGTATGGTATTGCTAATCAATTTAATGCGTTGCATCAAAGCTGTTTTATGCCTTTGATTTTGTTGATTGTGTTCCTGAATGTTTATACTGCCCTTTCATGCGTCAAATTTTCTCTGAAAAACTTCGCAGATTCTTCGCATAACATTTAACATTACGCATTCTGAAAGCATTTACTGTAACTTGAAAACCGGAAAGATGCCAAGGTTTCCAGTACCTTCGATTGAAATCAAATCATTGAGGTTTGGCATGATGAAAAATGCCCTGTTAAGAGTCTACATTTTCTTCCACGTTGTGAAGCATGAAATAATATCAAAAACTAGTAGAAATGAGGAAAACGGTGTTCAATTCAATTTAGGAGCATCGAACGAGTTATTATTTACTGACAGCATTCTATAATGCCAGCCACATTTGCGACTAATTTCCTCACCAGCTATTCAAGTTTTTTCAGGGCAGGTGGTCATTTTCGCGCAGGTTTATCTGAAACTGCTATTTGAGAACAATTTTCAAAGCATGTTCTGCTTCAAGAATAAATTTCTGTTCGAAGTGTTTGTATACATGCCTTGTATGAATATTATTCTTACTTGTGATTGTATTTCAGGAGATACGCAACAAAGTATGCCGAAGACAATCAATCCCGATTTAGCGAAAGAGAGCAAATTGGACGTTTCATTGTTCCACCGATTGCTATGGAACGGATTTCCATGTCTCTATCTCAGTGTGCAGCATCGATTACGTCCCGATCTTTTAAGATTAATGCAGCCCTTACTTGGATCAACTTTGACATCAGTGGTGGGAAAACATTTTGAGGACGTGAGAGGGATACGGAAGAATGTTTTCTTTGTATCGGTTTCCCGCTCGAAGAATTCCCGCAACCGGGTGAGAATTCGAAAAGTATATAGTGAAGCATGATTACTATGAATAAAAGGTATTACAGTACTATATTAGGGAATCATCGTGGCTGATGACCTGTTTTTTTTTAATCTAGATAATGAATAAATTGCTATAGAGAAGATAATTCACAACAACTTGATGCAACTTCACAGGAACACTCTATTAAAGATTAATTCAATGAAGAGGTACAGTTTTGTTAATATGTGGACCTAACGTTGGAAAGACTACTACATCCGAAATGTCTCTTCACCTATTACTTTAAGTTATTTAGGACGGCAGTGTAGTTACTGATCTCGAGGAAGTCCATCAATCGATGAGTATAATGTGAAGCTGTGCGAAACGACGAATTTATTCGATACCTCTCAAGTTTTTTTTAATTCTTGTTTTAACTTCTAAATAAATGCATGTTCTGTATAATCTAGCAGTGAACACGCAGAAAAACCCCTCCACATCGTAAAGAATATTACCATCATAAAGTTTTCAAATTAACGTAGTACAGGACAGTATTAAGTTTTCGAAGTGTTTTGTATCAACGAGGAAAAAAAATAATGTTATTCCCTAGACCTTTTAGAGTCTTAGACGAACTATTTATATCTGTTTTATAGTAATTCCTCAAGGTTAAACGATTGACCGCAGTTGAAAAAAGGCTCGAATAGTTGATATTCTTGTATATTTTTCATTGTACTCTTCCCCGAATCGAATTTCTTGATCGTTTCGTATGAAAAGTGAGATTTTAAATAATTCATAGTACGTATGTTTATGCCTGCGCCTGTTGTAATGATTGCATGCTTTCGGTGTTTTCTTTCTGGCAGTTAGAAAGCAGTTTCGAGCAGGAATTCATCTTGGCGTTGTGCCAGCATTTGCTCTACCACGGATACTCGCAAGATCAAATTACAATTCTCGTCTCATCTGAATGCCAAGTTCTTCCCATCATTCAAGTGAGTGTAATTTGTCAATTCTCGTTTTTTTTACTTCGTCAGTCGAAGCTACGTGTGGTTGATATTATCAAGTTGATGATGTTCGTTAAATTTATAACCGATCTCATAATCTTTAACCAGTCATGCCCTAATTCTGTAGCGAAATGAAGAGGATACATTTTATAATTCCGTTTGACTCGAACTACGAATGAGCTGAAGTTGGATAATAAGAACAAAAATCCCAAACAATAGACACGATTGATCTGAATGGGTTAAATTCTCACCGTTGTCAAATCTATCATATTTTCTGTTCCTTGTTCTTCAAAGCGGTTTTTGTAAATCATTAATGGATAATCATTACCTGGATGCTCACAAATCTTGCGTGTTGATTTATTGAAGCTGATGAAGCGGTTCTCCGCTTGCGTTGGTGTTCGGATCTGCCCATTGGAATCTTACCGTGGACTGGAAAATGACATCATCCTCCTTTCATTGGATCGTTGCGACAATGATCCTGTTGCTGGTGCGGAAATGAAAGCTAAGAGTGTCCTCTCGTTTTGCTTGTCGAGAGCTAGATTGGGCCTGTATATGATCGGCGACATGAGACACCTGAGCTTTCACAGCAAGGCCTGGAAACGAGTGCAGGACGTGTTGAAATTCCACGGGGAATTAGGGCCTGGGTTGCCGGTACTTTGTCATATGAACCCCGACCATAAGATCACCGTTCATTCCGCTTCCGATTTTCCGGGGAAGAATGGATGCAAGAAGGTGAGTGCATTCATGGTTGGATTGAGGAAACTTTATTGCGATTTATTTGACCTATGTCAGATGATAAATCCGTCGAAAAAGAAATTTCCGTTGGAGATGACAAAAAAAAAAGAAACATGGAGGAGCAAAGATCGTTTTTAGATAGAGAGTTAAGGCCAGCTTTAGGCTTGAGTTTGAACAGTAAAAAATAACACAGGCTATAATGATTCAGTCTCATGATATTCAATAAAACAGCACATATCATGCTTTCAAGGGCACGCAATTCTAGCAGAAATATCCAAGAGATCCAATTAGCCTTGGTTCTTATCGTATAATTATAAAATTTCGCAGCTTCAGCATGTCAAGAGACGGTGATCAATCAAACGATCGACAGCAGGGTAATGACTGAAGAATAATTTTTTCAAGTTTTTTCTGCGTTATTTTAAATGGGAAAATGTATTTAAATTTCTGTTGGTGAGCAAAAAGATTCGTTTATTTTTAAACCAACTTTAGGCAGTTTTCCAGCCGCCGATATTGCTGTTGAAATGCTGATGAGGTTTCACTTCCACGTCGTGAAATACGCCATCTAGTTGTTCATGCAACAACTGCGAGGCGTGTCAAATTCTCGCGCTCAGTTAAGAAAATTAGCAGATTTAGCACCAGCAGTTCTTCGAAATAGAGTCATTATATTACTGTACTATGCACCATTTTTCAAGCTTCTTCCCCGCCATTGAATTTCTTAGCTCTCTTCATCCGATAATTGAAATATGACCCACAAGCACAGTTTTTCAGCCTGTTTTTCTGCAAAATTCAAATTTCAACTTAACCATTCTGTGTCATTTGATGAACATTGGAAATTCATAGATGGCATCTTCGGAGACATTTTTGGTGAATTCTTCGAGGTACTGCGCATGAATGAGAAAATATCTACTGTTCTTCAAAATCACGTACAGCTGGAAGGGTTTTTGAGTGATCCGCTAATTGCTGTTTATTTTTTCCGTCCGACATGCGAGATTATAACGTTGGGGGGGGGGGGGGGGGGAAAAGGAAAGAATTTGAATTTCGGGGTTAAATTTTGGACTAGGGGGGGGGGGGGGGGGGGGGGGGGGGGGGGGGGGGGGAGAAAAGGAAAGAATTTGAATTTCAGGATTAAATTTTGGACTTAGTACGTGTCCTGCTGAGTAAATTACGAAGTAAGGAAATGGGGCATCCATAGGTTTTCTTTTCGGTTAATAAAACGACGCATTCCTTTCTTATTTTAGAATTGTGGGATGATTCTTTGCTGCGGTCAAAAGTGCACTCGGTTGTGCAACAATCATGAAGACGTGGTACATTGCGAAGTGTGTGGCCGGGATTCGGAAAGCGTGAGAAAAGAAGTGCTAAACGTTTGTTAGACGCTTAATTCTAAGATTCCATTTCATTCAAGAAGGTTTTTTCTCATCGACCTGCTGAAGTTATAGGTTCAGTTCCCAACATGGATGCGGTAGAAACCCAAGTTGTTTTGCAGACTCCAGTGCTGGAGCCGTTGAAGAAAACTGACGCTGCTGGCGCCAGTTTGCACAAGTGTGAGGAAAGCGGCCGCCTGATGGGTCAAGACGATTTCAAATGCGATGCTATGGTTGAACATCCGTCACTTGCCAGGCATGTACCTTTACTGCATTACACGTGCTATACAGAAAAAATCCAATAATGTATTTCTAACTCGGATTAAAAGATATGCCCTGAAAATAATACAGTACAGTTCATGGAAAAATACTTGAAATGTTCAAAGTTCTGCATGTGTCCGAGAGCATCTGCACTTTTTTGTGCAAAGGTTTCTTTTTTTTCTGAATGGACGTCTTCAAGGTTGATTTTAACTCAAAATCAAGCCGATTTGTACCTTTATTTTGAGTCCTCATGGTCAGTTTCGAAGAATTGAGTACCCGGAGAATAAAATTGACTGAATTTAGCAAACGTTTCAGGATTTCGAGGAATTTTTTTCAATTCGAAACCTAAAAACTTGGAGGGCGCCTTTGAATGAATATACTGTGATACTGTAGCTTATATTCTCCCGAATGTAACTGTATTTACGTATTCGAAATTTACAGCGATGTGACTTCCCGTTTTGAAAAATGTGAACCTCACCGAAGGATTTGTGTTAATTACCTTGAACTCTATTCAATACCAGTTGCTGTATTCGTCATGGAAAAGCAAAGACACTTTAAGAGTTGTTATACAGGTTCGGAACGTTGTTCTATTGATGAAAGATGGTCCTGCTACAAGAAATAACGAGCAGTGACGTATATTGGACCTTAAACTTCATCTATCGTTTCAGATGTGGGCACGCACTGTACTTTCCGTGCTACGTGCTGCCCTCTGTTGCAGACTTGAGCGGCGAACTGTTGATGGACCTTTGTGACGAGCCCTGTAATGCTGTGCTACCCTGCGGGCATGAATGTACCGGGAATTGCAGGAAATGTTGGCGTGGTCGAATACACGAGCCGTGTTCCGAGCCTTGTGTCCGGGTTTTAGTTTGTGGACACGAATGCCGTGCTTTGTGTTGCGAATTGTGTCCACCGTGTGAGCAAGACTGCAGTAATTTATGCGAGCATTCTAGGTGTGCCAAAAAGTGCGGGGAACCTTGTGACCCTTGCGAGGTGAGTCAGACGAGGACGCGTTTTACGTCATCATTGTCACTGGAACTGAAAATCAGTAGAGCATTCGAAGGTTTTTTTTTCTATTTTCCTGTAGGATTATGGCATCTCCGGCTGTAAAAGATTCGGCGATTGATTTTAAATACTGTGGTAGCTAATTGAAAATTGCCTGATTTTCCCAAGAAACGTTCATCCGTGCGCCTTATGATCCATTTGTGCCGTTTTTTTTTCCTTAAATACCTGTTTAAGCAGGCAAGTATAAATAATTGAATGATTCGAAAATGTTGGCCTATGAATCGTGTGTTTGTGACATGTGCTGATTCTCAGCTACAACCTAGCGTAGCAATACAATAAAGAAATTGGCATTATAAAAATGAAGTTTAAAAATGAATGAATCATCCTGGAAATAAAATACAATATGAATTTCCAACGTCGATATAGATTTCAGATGGAAAAATTAGCATCAAATGTCACATCTATAGCCAAAAATTGTTCTCACTGTCATCTGTTCGTGGGCAGTCTACGTAAAGATGACAAGCAATGGAACATTTTTCGGTTGAAAAAAAAAAATGAGGGAAGCATTCCTGCAATCAAATTGGCTTCTATGAGTTCTATCTATGATTTTCTTGTACTATTTCTAGTTTCTTTGGACTCCGCTGTCTTTCTAAACTTTGAAAATTCATATCTAAAATTGTAAGGTGCTTTTTAATTTCATGTTTATGCTGCGAATTTCCCTGAATTGCGCTTTTTATTAAAATCTATATATACAGTAGCTGTACTTAGACTTCAGAGAATGACATGAACCTGAAAGGAGCTGATTCCCAGTCTGCCATGTACATTGTAGATGAGTGCGTAATGTACAAGGCTGACGAAAATATCCTGAAAACGTGCCTATATTCCGTGTGCGGAAATGAAACCACCTTATTATTTTTAATCGAGAATGTTACTTAGGTATTCTTTCGTCCGTCTCGCTAGGAAATGTCTGCTGCGACGTGCTCTGATTGCCCGAAGAATTCTTGCGAGTTGTTTCTTGATTGCTCGAAAAATTGCGAAAGTGTGCTGCTCTGTGGACACAAATGTATTGGAATTTGTGGTGAGCTTTGCCCTCCGTGTTGGTTCTGCAATAATGAACTTTTCTGCAAGTACGGAAACGTGGAAGAGTTTGGCACTCCGAAAACGAGGTAATTTTTTTTTCTGAAAATGTATCTAAATCGGACTTTTGCTTCGCTTTTCCGTTTTTGTTTATTTTCTTGTGCTAGTCGTTCAAAGTGCAACTTTGAGATTGGCCAGCAGTTATATGAGAGCAAACCTATTTATTTTCAAATTTATACTTTTGGTTATCTGTTCGTGAATCCAGGTTGATTGGGATACCGGAATGCGGCCACGTTGTGAGTGAGGAAGATTTCAATGAGATTCTAAAGGAGGGATCACAAATTGTTCATCCAGCGAAGTGTCCCGAACCGTGGTGTCAAAATCCGCTTTTTCGGGTGAGGAAATATCGAAGGACTGCATCGAAATTCTTTGACGAATTGGCTCGTATCAGGCTGTGCGTTACGGGTAAATCAAACGTAGAAAACGAACTGGAGGAAATCGTTAACTTCTTGACAGGTGAGCATGTTTTTAAATTTCCGATGAGAAAAAAATCGCGTAACTTTTGTTTTTGAGTCTATATACTGTTTAGTCCAGTGCGATGTTAAAAAGTTGCCCTTTTGATTTATCTTCAGTGGTGCATTTTTGGGACTGCGGGGACGCGTCTTGAGTGGCTTTACCTTCATTATTATTATTTTTTCAGAATCGTCGATTGATGACGAAACGTGTGGAAGCCTGATAATCAACGAGCTTGGTCTGGAGAAAAGAATGTCGGCCTTTCTTTGTGAGCTTGGTCTTACTTTTTGTGAGCCATTCTTCCGACGTGGAGTTGCAGTTGAGCATGTCGAACAGGCCACTATTTTTAATGCAATACGTGCTCGAGATGCGCTGAATCGATTGAAACTGATTCACGACTTGGCTCTGCTGCATCGGACTGGCTGTGATGCTGCTGGTCTAACTTTTGCGAGAGATTCTCGACTCATTTCTGAGATTTTGCAGGTATTTTGGGAAATATTTCTCATCTATTTGTGTGTAGGTATATTTCCGTTTTTTCGAGAATCTTCTGAGGTGTTGAAAACTTTTTTGTGACAAGAAAATTCGGATGTTATCTCAAAATTAAAAAAAATTGCCTTGAAGCAGGAGAAATGCTAGAAAGCGACCTTTTTCAGTGAAAATATGCACTCAAAAACAGTCAATGCGAGATGGTATGGTAGAGATGCCCTGGTTGCACGCGAAAGGAAGTTAGGAACCGTGAGAATAATGTACAGTATAATCAATTTTAGTTGGCTGAGCTGTTGTTCGTGAGACAAAAGCTGCCTGCGTGGGTGCTGAGAATGTTTTCAGCCGAAGTTCAACGCTTAAAATACCTCGTAACAGTCAATCAGATGAGGGTGAGCACAGAATTACGGTATTCAAATCAAAATGTGAAGTGAATGCGTTTTTTGTCCTTTTTTTGTCTGCAGAATTATCCTGATGTCGCGGAAATGGTCGAATGCATCGAGGCGAAAACAATTCTTGAAGAAACGTCAATGTTCTCGCTGGATGAAGAAGATTCTGTGAAACAATTGATTCAAAAAGCTATTCAAGAAAGAAATATTTCTTCGACTATGTTGCCCGGTTCTCGGACGCCCTTAGTTATCATTAGTGTAAACCAGGGCGATTGGATTCGATGTCCTGTCGGTCATATTTTCTGTGTGACAGGTCAGATATTTTTTTAACTTCATTTTTTCACTCGTCGTGAATCAAGAAATGTGCGATTTTTGCCCACCGACGAACTTACGGATTTTCCAAAATTTTGAAGTAAAGTTCGAATAACCTTTTCTAACTGGCAAAGCCATTCTTTTGTGCAAATGAAAAATAAAACTTCGTTACTGAGCAACTTTGAAAAATTGAAATATTTTGCGGTATGTATCTTCAGTTTTCGATATTTTGGAATCTTTTTATAATTTTGGGGCCCTCCGTAAGACCATCAGCAAATTTCAATTTGCAGTCTAGAAATCCCTCTGAAACCTTCTTTCACCAATATTTTACGAGTAGTAAAGCATGTTCAAAATTTGAAGTTTTAAGGAAAACGTTGAGACTTGTGTAACGCTTCGGATTTTGGGTAAGGGTAAATGGAAAAATTTTCAGATCAAGGATAATATAGGTTCATCCAATATCCAAGTATTTGTATTACATTTAAAGATTGAAAAATGAGTCTACACCGGCAGAATCATGAATTAAATGAACAAAGTGAGGGTTATTCATTTTTCTGAAGTGCAAGCCGAAATCAGACGCCTCTTTCAATCGTATAATTTGGCTTCATATGATCACGTACCTCATCAAAGTTTTGTTTCTGTTCAGAATCTAAAATTTGTTTCACCCATTGCAGAGGAGGAGAGACGAAGTCGTTCGACGGAATGCCGTACTTGTGGATATCCCTTTTTATTTGAATAATTTCTTTTGAGCCGCTCTTCGGTATCAGCACCTGTGATTGTGTCAGTAAATCGATGCGCGATTTGAAATGTGCATTGCTGAAGAACTTTTTTACGCTTTGGAAATTTATACGCTTTCATTTTCGCGCTTGAGCTTTTTTTTATCACTTTTCAATTTCGTAAAATGTTCGTTCTAATACTGTTTGCACAAAATACAGGACTTCATCGCCATTTCGACTGAGTTGGATGGATCGTACTTTGTTGTTGATTCGGGAACCTCAACTATAGCCTAGGCTTGTATTTCCTGAATGATTTTTTTTCCCATTTAGTACTTGGTATGCGATTTCGACGTACAGTATAATAAATCCTGCTGTCGCTTGACCAGATCATTTATTTGGGAAATTATGGAATTTCCCGCTTTTGTCTCACGAATTCCAAAATTCAGGGAGTTTCATGAAAACTATGTAGATGTCTTTGCGAAGCTTTTCCATGTATCTTAGGATATATATTTTTTCAATAGATGTCGATTGGAATCACAGTCTTATTTTAATTGTGCAGTGAGTGATTCTAATTCCTTGAAGGTTCCTTCAAAAATAATGAATGCATTTTCAGTATACCGTATACTGTATGCTAAAAATTCATTCATTGTTGTTTTTTGCCACTTCAGTATATTCGGATATTCCATATAATTGTAGCAAAAACACGAGGGAGGCAATATGCTCAAAACAAACGAATTTCAAGAAAAAGCTTTTATCGTTTTGAAAATTACACTTATATTTAATGATTGCAATCTACTTCCGACGAGTCTATTATCAAAAGCAGGGTTTACTACGTGAAGCAGTGCATTCTGGCAGTTGGAGGGAATCGCGCGTAAAATCTATCGTGCGATGAGGCGTCCGTTATCCGAAAAACCTCTCAATTACGCGTTGTGCAATCGTCTAGTGTTATCGGAAGGCGATGATTCACGTGATCAAAACCCCGTGCTTTTGTTGTGTATCTTATCAAACACACAAAACGTGGAATGTCGTACGACGTGATTCTACAATTCGGGGAGCCCGTCGATTATTGATAAAGGTCGTGCGGCGCATTATTTGAGCGTGTTTTAGTGCTGGGAACACTTGCAGTGATACAGTATATATATATATATATATACCTCCGAAACTTTTGTTTACAAACTTGATTTCCCGCGTCAAATTTGTCAAATGGACGCAGCGATTGCTAATTGGAATGCGACGAGTGCTGGAATAACCAACGGCGATGAGACCGTGTCTGTAGCAGAAAAAACGGATGGTGAGAAATGGGAAGAGATTCTTGCGAAATCTCTGAGAGGTTTCATGGAAGACATGGTGGCAGTGAAGAAATCAGTCGAGTTGTTGAGACGTGAGTTCTATGATTCTTTCATATGTTTTATCTAAATTTTCTCCGAAATAGTTAAAAAACACTCAAAATCACCCTTTTTTCCTTGAGTATACTACAGTAGCCGTACACTTCCCTTTTTGGGTGCTGTGCTCTATAAAGTGGAGAAATAATCGATATTTACTGTGTCGCAAGCATGCCAACTTCTGGAATATAGTATCGTCATGATGCTCGAAAGAAAAGTCCTAATTTGATGCAGATGCCAAATTTGATTAAATCCAATTTTTATATCCAGATATTATCGAATTACTGATTTTTTTTCAAGTCTGGATCCTCGAAACCGAAAATGAAAGGATGAAAAACCGATCTTGCTAAAAAGTTCTTTAAATGTCTGTTGCATAAATGGCCTGGGCATTGCAGCATGCATTTGATTGTAGAAACTTCTGGCAATCCTTCAGGTTCAGTGTCACTAAGATAGCCCACACCCGCACCAATGAAATGAGCATTGATTTTAATGAAAAATGACTTTCACTTCGTGACATATTTGTAGTTTTTATAAAAAGTTGAATTATTTTCAGTATTTTTGTATCTTGTGGAATTGTGTCTGCCTGAAAATTCTGTATTAGGTTGCACTAAAAAATTGTCGAATACGTGTGTAATTCACATGGTATTCTGTGAAAATGACGTCATCTCCATTAATCCGACCAAACGCAAAAAAGCACGACGGAAGAAAAAATTTTTGAAGCCACTCGATTATGATATTTCATTTTTTTTTATTGTTCATCATTCGTTGAAAATAAAAATGAGGCTTTCTAAAATCAAATTACAACTAGGACTTTTTGCGTAGTAATCCTGATTTTCTCTTATTTTCAAGGTAGGGCTAAATCTTTCTACAGTATTCACGAATACTTGGTCACATTTTCGGGGAAACTCACTCTCCGGACTGACATTTTTCACTGTATGATACGTTTTTTATTTTGCGTATTTAGGTCGATTGGATAAAATTGAAGAAGCCAGGATGTCCAGAGTCTGCTGTTGTGAGGGGAAACCACCATTGAAAACCAGAAGCTACAGTGCATCATCATCGCCATCATCATCAGTGAAGCATCAAGGCTTAACTTACTGCAGAGAATCCATGCTCGCAATCAGAGAAAGCCGTTTTTGCACATCATTCCCGAGCTTTTTGGAAGAATTGCAGGGGTCGAATTCGTTCCCGTTGAAGGGTTCGTTTTTGAAACTACAGCTGAATGCGCCTGTGGTTGTGCATCATGACTTCACGCCGCATTTTATTAAAGACTCCGACGTTCTGCTGATGAGAGGGAAAAAAGGCAGCAACAACAGAAGGGTGCGTTAGTTCTCAAATATTACCATTTTCAAGTTAATTTGTCAACAAAACCTGAAAATGAAATGAACCCGAAACTTTAAAAAGATCTCGAAATCAAAAATTGAAATGTAGAAGGTAATCCCAAAACATTACTTCGACCAAAACCTGAACATGTACCTCGTATACAGAGCTTTATTGAAATTCCGAAGCATAATTTGGAGAAAAGCTGAAGAGTGAAATTTTGAATTCGCAAAAAATTTCAGCAAGAATTTTCATCAAAACCAAAGCTTGAACTAAGACCTCTTCGAGTTAACTTGAACGAAAACTTCAGTCATAATTGAGACCTGACTCAAAATTCGATCCAAAAACAAAGTGAAACCTGACGAAGGGGAAAGTTTTGCGAGAAATCGAACTAGTGCATAATTTAAACTTGCCAACTTCAAGCCAGAACATGAACTAAAACTATAAATACATGAACGCCGTGATGAAATGATGAACATGGACCAAATCTCAGAAAATCTTCGAATCAGAATTCGAAGATGAATTAGGAAAAAAATGTAATACTGTAACCAACTTTTAATGCTGATATAGATTTTTTGTAATAGTCCATTCCAACTTGAATATTCGATACAAGGTCGATATAACGAAATATTGATCACGGCGAATGTGTTTAGGTCCATGATGATACCCAATAGCCGCAATATTATTTTTATTAATTTTAAACTATTTTTGAAAAATTTGAACAAGCTTTTTTCCTGGTCCCGATGGCTTTCTTCGAAAAAAATTTAACTGCTCAAATATTGTTTACATTTTGACAAATTAATTAACGTTTTTACAGAATGAGTCGATAGAAACAGTTGGCACTGAACAAATACATGCTGCATATGCTTTTCTCAACTCCTGTTGAAGAATTAGTTGATTGAAAACAATAAAAAAATAATGATAATACTGATGACGCGTAAACTCGACCATAAATAGCTCGTCTTGAGACACATAAATACGTTTTCACCTCCCCCTTATCTCATCCCTTGAAAATGTGTTCAAGGGTACATTGTGTCAATGTCATTCCTATGGTTAAGTTCTCCAAGTCATCATGGTCTGTCATCATATACAACTTTAGTTTTTCACCTCAATCAATTATCTCGGCACCATTTCCTTCCATGTAAGTTTTTATTTTTATATGCAGTAGTTCTCTCCGTGGGAAATAAGCTTCCATCAGATGCAATTTTCGAACCAGCATTTTCTCGATCTCGGTTTAATCGCAATATCGGGATTTTCGCGTCCCGCCGTATAAAAACAGATTCCTGATGAATTTCAATATTCGTCCAAATATTATAAAGCATAGCTAAGGTTTTGACGAATGGGTCCGTACGGTACTGACAAAATTCTTCTCTTTGCAGAAGGCGAATCAAGAACGGCTTCGAGTCAGAAAACTTTCCGAGCAACCATTGGAATTTCGACCAACCACTCCGAACTCGTGGTCAACGATGAGAGTCGGAAGCTCATTTTCCGAATCATCATATGCGTGAATGTGTGTTGGATCGGGAACCGGAAATCCTACACGAATATGTTGTTATTGTCTTCTTGCTTGTTATACCGTAAAAAGTTACATAATACAGTGCGCACTTCAAAAATTTCATGATTGTAAACAGATATATGTGCTGTAATTACTTGGATTGGTAAAATGTTTAAAGCGTGCGCGAACCCTTTTTTAAATTTCCGGAATTGAGTGCAAGTCAGCTTCCGAATCATTTTCATAGAATGTTGAAACAGCTTCTTGTCTCAGATGTGAAATGAACGTAATTTATTTCCTTTTAATGTTGAAAATCATCTGCTGCGAGATTTCCGGAAGAAGATGTTGGCTCCTCCAAGCAAATCAATTAAAATGATGCAGACGATGTTATCAATAATCTGAATCTCCTTAAAAGTCATTTACTTAATCTCGAGAAGCATTGAAAAAGTTTTTAATTTGTTTTTCTAAAATGTGCTTCGAGGAAGGTAGATTTAAATACTGCATATTATACAGAACATATATGACAATAAATTCAAAGGCGGTTCACTTGCTTTGTGTATTTCCTTTTCATCTTCTGCTGATGAATTGATTTTTTCTTTATAAGGCTGTATAATGAGGTAGTTTGCAAAACATACAATTTAGACATGATTTCTGCGCGTTGCAGTGGGTGAAAATCAAGATTGAAAGTTTTTTGGTTTCTCTCGAAAATGATTTCCATGATCCGATCATATTCTATAATTTACTATATTTAATCAAGTACGATGCACAATTTTCTTGAGATACAGAATTTGGACAAAAAAGGTGTACCATAGTTGGGTAAAATCTTTTTTTTTAAATTTGTTATGAGTCATTCATGAGTCATGGTTGCATTTTTAACTTACACATTCTCCCTTCTTGAACATGTTTTTAGAGTTCTTCATTCAATCATTCCATGGATAAAAAAAACAGTACAATTAAATTCGTCTCTTAAGTGCGCTAAAATTTATATTTTCACATAATGTGGATTTTCAATGACGGTATGAATTTTATGAGGTACTCAAGTCAATGTGGTATATGCATTATATTCATGATGCTATTCCAACAAAATAAAGCAATGATAAAGTGAATTTTTTGTCAAAACCTTTCTCACGCGTTGACGTAGTAGTTCCAGCAGCTGAACGAAAATTACGGATTTGTATGGAAGCACTTCTGAGATAAAAAGTCGAGGAAAGATGTTGACATTTCTCAATTTTTTCCTGCCGCATGATCTACCTTATCAGTAAATTTGATAACCGAGGCAAATAAAATGTCTGGATGAAAATAGGCCCTTCACCCATACGCAGGAGGTTTTATACTTAACTGTGATAAGAAGTTTTACTTGAAACTCAAGCGACAAGAAGGACAATTGTGAAGCCCGAGCTGTCTGAAGTGTCTTCGAATTTCTTTCCAGGGATGCCACTTACGGAGTTTGACAAAGTTTCGACTGAAACACTGATCGAAGAGGCTGTGGAGAAAGCTTTACTCCGTGCTTTGTCGCATACATGTCAGAAAATCGAGCAATCAATCGCAGGGATCATTGACAGGAAGATCAAAGAAATTGTCATTCCGAGAGTCGCGAAAATTGAAGAACTGCTGGACTCGGTAGGGAAATATTTCCATCGCAGAGGTGAGTTATTCAATAAACCTTGGTTTTGAATCAGATGATATTTTTTGACTGTATATTATTTTATTTTTGAGAACGAGTGAAATAAATTCACCCTTGCCAAAAAGGCATATGTCACTGATACGTGTTTTAGCGCGAATATATTGTCTTCTATTTTTGCTTATTAATAATGACTGTGTGGATGGGAAGAAACATTGTCCATTAATCATTTGTGAATCAACTTATATAGAGGCCATAGAAAATACGACGCATTCTGATATTCACAAGTGAACAAGTGGAGAAGAGGACTTTCATTAAATATGTGATTCCATATAGTTTTTGAAACATGTTCTACTTTTCCCTCCGACGAGGACTTGGGTGATTTCATCACTTGGTTGAAAAAAATTATTTCAGAAGAGCGACATGAAAGAAGAACTAAGAGCGAGAGCAGCTTCAATGATTCTCGAAGGGACGCAGAAAACTGTCGTATTTCCAATGACTATCAGCAATTCCCCACCATGACGACCGCAACTTCCTCAACCACCAAGGTTAAACGCAACAAATTGACTCGGAAATCGAAGAAACCCATACAGCCCTGTGACATCAGCACCCCCTTCAACTTCCAACAAGTTTGGAAAATCGAAAGCGACGATCTCAAGCCGCGATCGCAGCGAAATTTGCCGAATTGCGATCCGAAATCCGCCGAAGATGAAATTCAAGATCCGACGAATGAAGCTTTGCAGTCCGACTTTTCAGGGCCACGTGCTGCTGTTGGAAACCCTGTTGAGGACTCTGATTCGAGTGATTTGAGTGATAAATTGAATTCAGGAGATGCAACAGTTGAAATGTTAGCCAATTATCCTCGAAGACTTAATCGACGCACTGTTTCTTTGTCAATAAGCACCGTTAAGGAAGATACCAGCTGTAATTTCAGTATAAATCCGTGCAGATATTCAAGCAATACTTGAATTGAACTTGATGGTATTACAGTACTAAAATTTGTATAATTTAGTACAGTACATTTTCAAACAAGTTCCATCTCGGACATCACTTAATGTTCATGATATGAGCTCTCGCTCGGCTATTTAAACTTCATAGAGAACACCCAAGCGTGTTGTAAACAAATTTTTCTCGAATTATTTGAGCTCTGATTTAAACAGACTAAATATTTTGCCGACTCAAAAGCTGCATGCTCAAATGGTATTGATGAATAATAACGTAAGAGTGCTTCAGAATAATTTTGAGCTTATATTTTTACAGTACTGTATATGATTATATCGAGAATAAGAGTCAACGGTGGGTGCTGTTTCGATACCCTTCTGCGGATAGATGAATAGATCAATCAGCCCAATGAGCATAAATTGTAAAAAAAATATTATTCCTGTTGGACCTTTGTGAGGCTCCGTTCGTCAACTGTAGCAGATGGTGTTTTTTTTCAATTTATAATTTTATGTTATTGTATACATTATCTTCGTTGAAGTGCTGATATGTTTCTGCATTGTGATGATGAACCACAGCATATTTTCATTTATGCACATGCAGTATACAGTAAAGTATATGCACAATGTCGAATAAGAAAACAATGCTGCATGCCGCTGCAGATATTTTGGTTTTTTTTTTTAAACCCATACTCGATATTCCTGATATAGCATATAATACCATGATGTTCGGCCTTCTCTGATTCTTGTACCAAATTTCAAATTTCGAAGAATGAGTTCATATGCTGGGAGGATTTCGCAATGTTTGAAGGGTTGTCATTTCAGTTTCGAGGCTGATGATGTCATGTATGGAATACAGAATATGTGCAGCGATTGAAATTCAAAAAATGCATCTCATTTTTACTCGCATTTTGGGGCATGATATCGATTTGTTTCAAGGATTGCGTTGAACTGAGAGTTAAAGTGAATTTGGTGCGTTCATAGCTTATTTTGCTGGCGAAAATAGCGTTTAGATGTGTTATTCAGAGCCTACCAGCAGAGGCGATTAAAAATCTTATTGGGGCTTCGATAGTTCGCATCTGGATCATGATACGAAGAAGAATGAATTCCAAACCTTTTTGGGACCGGAAGTGCATTTGAAGAAAAGAAAGCAGTGCTGCTATCCATGCGCATGCCGATGCGTCTGCACTATCTCATCCTGAGTGCTGTGTAAAAGACCACCATCACCCGTACTTTTGTGGCACTCTATAGTTTTCATATATACAGTAGCTAGATCATTTTTCAAATACCGTACTCAATCTGAGGGCATATGCAAGTTTTTTAGGGAAATACAGTACAGTGTAGTTTGTTCTGGTTATCAACCTCCTAGCTTATGTCCCGGATTTTACTGAAGTAAAGTAATGTTCATTACTACGCTTTTTTTTTTAAAGAAATGAAGTTGAAGGTATAGAATTAAGGAATCACTTGTGAATTTTTTTTAATTTTGGACTGATGTATTCCATGGGTTGAGAAGTCATGACATAAAACAGAGCACCGAAGAGTACTTAATTGCAGTACGGCACTGCTGCACCTTCAAATGGAAGGCCTTCAATGATTCATCGCCGGAGACATCTATACACTGCTCAATGAAATAAAGAACCACATTACGCGCGCCTTCGCCTTCGGTAGGTCGGCAATCTCATCATCTGCGGGAACTCATCGGTACTTCTTGCGAAAGTAAACTTGAGTTATTGAGCTATTTAATCAGGCGATGTGTGGATCTGTCTGGAGGTGTGTTAGAAGTAATGCCGTTTATCAGCTCTTACGCGTAAAATTGTTTCGCTGAAGTGATACTATTTGACAACGGGTCTATGCATGATGATACGCTTATCATGGTGAGTATCTGATCGCGACGGAAACTCAGCCCTTGGCGCGAATCGTTTTTGTGAAGTGTGAAATGGATGTGTCGAGTTATCCTTTTTGACATGACAGCATTATTCATCGTTCTTTCAATTGAACAGTTCCATCCAGGGTTCGTAGAATGCAATGTTGAATTTTATCGAATGCGGAACGATTGATGTTTCTCATATTTCCGTGTGAATATACCACACGGTCGAGAAGTATCTCCAGTTGGTGTTTACTAAAAGGATTCTGAATTGATCCGTTTTCTTGATTTGTCAACCCTTGCCGGGAACTGTGGGGGAATACTGTGTTTGGTGCAGTTCTATCGTGAGGTTTACAGATTTTAGTCCGAGATATCACGGATCATTTAGTAGCATTGTGCGAATCTGCGTAGCATGAGTTCTTTTACCGGTCTGGTATGTGTGGTCCGAAGGTCTACAGGTTCTAGACGCCCTACTGAATCTGTTCTTATCTGTGAAATGTATCTGGCTTTTTTTCTGGTTTGGATGCGGTAAGAAAAATTCGGCTGATGCGTGCCACGCGATCTATGCTTTTGGTGATCATTGTTTAGGACATTCGTCCTCTACCATACTACCAAGTTATAATAATTGTGCTTTTCACAGGTTTGGGATGTGTTCAGTTGCAGAAATGGAGTTTTTACGATATGTTGAGGACTCCAGCGTGAAAATGTGAAATAACATTTAAAGACGTTAGCAAGGCAGTACTACAATGGACGGCGATTGCCGCATTGTGGATTACTTCATCGTAGCTGGTTTACCTTCAACTAAAGACCCGAAGCCGCTGGGTGAAGTAGACGTCCACGACGAAGGAGTTCCAAAATCTTGTCCATCGTTTGCTGAACCGATCACGGACATTCAAGTAATAAACCGGACGGAGAATGAAGATACACCTCCCGGGTTTTACTGCATTGAGAAAACTCCCCAAGGTTGGCGAATTTGTGACTGGGGAAGAGCACCGAGACGAAAATTAACATGAAGAAAATTACTCAAAGGGAAACACCCGTTACTATTTGTTTCAAAGCGTATTTCTGGTCTCTCGTATTTCTTGCATTAGATGGCATTCCAAGTGAATTGCATCGAATATTTTTCTTATCTAGAGTTCTATGCATATACTGTTCTATGATTGCTACTTGTTCCTTCTAATCGTTCAATCGTTCGAATATTCGTTTTGCACCGAGCATTCCGGGTGACAAAAGTCTTTGTTTCAATCTACTTACGGAATAAGGCAGTGTGTTTGAAAACGAACGGAATTCGGAGTGGTATCTTGTAGAGATAATTAATTCGCTGAAGGATATTTCCGACTTGAATATAGTCGACGTAATTTTTCGCTTTTTCTTGCCCTGCCTTGATGCTCTTCTTCAGGCACATTAGAAATACCTACCCAACAGGAAATTTTATACTTTCCTTTGACCAGGTTTCTCTGCAAACTTGAATCACGGAAGCTTCAGAAGTCCTGAACTGTATCTGTGCTACAGAAGAGGACGTGATCGGCCTCCTTTGCTTGATATATGGTAAAATTATACCTCAATTTGCAATTTTTCATATTAAATTACTCTCGCTTTTTTCAGGGTGCTGTTCGAGGGAAAAGATGATTTGATGCCCGACTCGCAGGTCCTTGAGCGGACACCAAACGGGCACATGGCTAACGTAAACAATGCCAGCGTGAAAACATTCATGTCTTATCGTCGTGCCAAAGAAGAAGCCCCTTGCAATGAGCTTGTAGTGACCGATATTTGTGTCATTTTGCCCAAAATGGGGGAACGACCGCCGCATTGCTTCTACAGAATTGATCGGAATTTGAACCGAGGAATGATAGGTTCAGATGTTTACGTTTGTTATAAGAAGTCCATGAACCGTCCAAACTTGGTCATCTACGAACCCGGTAAGTTCGACGTTTCTCGTCGTGTTTCTCTTTATTTTGGGTACTTGTTATGTCTCAAGTCTGTGATTCCACCTCCTTATACTTCCCGTTTTATTCGGATGCCACTGAGACTCACATACGCTTCTATTCCTTTGACCAAATATTTGAAACATTTTCCGGCGAATCTTCTGGATAGTATCTCGTGTTTCCCAGTTTACCAGAAACTCTTGTACATGAAATTTTGAAGTCTCCCCAGAGTCTCGTGTACTATATCTATCAATCACAACGATAACATGAATGCCTGGACTCACTCTTGGACAAATCCTGAAGGTATCATTACGACGAGTGTTCAGTTACTGATCATCTAACTTTTATTTCAAGTGATGTGATATGAACCTCATTAGCTTAAACAAATGTATAAACTCATCAATGATAGCTAAGCTATGGAGCTAATGCTTCACCAAATCATACTGAATGATACATATTTTCGGACCACCTCATACAACAAATTTGTTTACGTGGCTCTGACGAGCTCGAGAAGTTTTGCCGTTTTTTTGAGGAAATTATCCTGTGTATTCGCCGAAATGCGGTAGATGTCGCCTGATTTTTATGACTCTTCGTTCAGTTCAATCAGGCTTTGTTAGGTTCGAGATTGAGGCAATGCCCGCAAATTTTCTAGATGCACTATCGTGGATGTAACAAGAAGTGTCGTTTTTCTGATTTCCTCGTTTTCGTTGATTTTTAGAAATAATATGGAGGTATCCGGTAGAAGACTACGACGATTGCCCACTACCACCGAGTATTGCGACTTTTGGCTTGCCGTTAGGTGCTACTTTGGAATGGTGGCCTCCAAAGGCCAGGGCGCCGAAGCCCGTCTTTTCCACATTTGTGCTTTCATTAACGAATGCACACAGTGAGGTTCGAGAAACTTGCGACCAGCTTTCCTTTGAGAGTTCTTGGGAGACGATACTGTCTTTTATTTTCTCAGGGATCTGTGAAATCGTGGTACGGAGCCGCAGTGGCATTCTATGAAGAACATCCTGCCGAGAAAGTGACGCACGAGCAAAGAAAACTGTTGTCCTATCCGGAACAGAGTGACCCGTTACAGTTGAGGGTGTTCGCGAAAAAGTGCATTTGTTTCCTTTCTCATTGGCCGTTTTTTGACGCCTATCAAAAGTTCCTCATGTTCCTACACCGTTTCGCCTTTTCGGGAGAGGCTCATCCAATTCCGATCGAAAGGTACGTATTTTCTGTGAGAAAAGGTGCTTGCCGATTCTGTCCGCTGAAAGTAGCTTAAACTAAACCGTCTTATCGTAATTCTAAAGTAAAGGTTCTCCAACATTGCCCCGCGTAATTATTTGGGCGCTGTGCACGACCTCTACCCAAGAATGTTAGGAAGAAACGTCGCAATTGAATTGAAGAATTAGAAATTCAATAATTTTTGAATCCATTTGGTGTTTTGTGTGAAAGGAGGTGTAATTAACACGGAAGCTGAGGCCCGCAAAATGAAGTTGACTGGCGACAGAGTCCTTGAATGTGCTGAGAGGCTCTGCAGTAGACTCAGTTCATCAGGAGGCTCTGCGTTTAAAAAAAGCTTGAGAAACTCTGTTCTAAACTGACCTGTCAACTTTATCGAACATCTACCATTGTCTGGAACTTTCAGTCATTGATTGAAGTTGTCCCGTAAATGAAGATTAGGTTGCAGTTATAACAAGGGAGACCCGAAGTAATACCTGCATGCATTTTTGGAACTAGCAGAAAGTGCAATAATTCCGTTAATCTGATTCCAGGCACTTGAGTCACTTCATGCATTTTGTGCCATTCCCGTCCCTCCAACGGCCGTTTGTTTTTGCGCAATTGTCGGCTACAGAACGTTTGTCGCTTTATCTACCACCGGATTCCCCGTTGAGACAAAGGTTTGTTTTATGGTAACCGTGTTGTAGTTGTGATTTAATCAAAATCCCCTTTTCTGTTGCTTAGTGGAGCAAAGTTTCGCGACTTGTTGGATTGTCTGGACGCGGAGCGCATTGTGCAAGTGCTGGTGATGACTTTGCTTGAGCAGAAAATTCTGCTTCATTCCTTGCGTCCAAATGTGTTAACCTCTGTTGCCGAAGCGCTTTCTATGGTGAGCTTCATAGGATGCCGGTTTTCGACTGCATTTTCCCCCAAAATCTTCGAAAGTCCGCAGAGATAAGGATGTACAGTACTTGGTGCAAGTTTTTCTAAAGTCGCTATTCTCCTGGCTAATCTAAAAACTGTATTTCTGCCGGAAGGACTGTATTAGTTGGCATTCAATGCCGCGTTCTGTAAAAAAAAAGAAAGCTGAGTGAGATTTTCCGTCACTTTTTCAAAAGTAAGGGTGATTTACTCCTGGTCTGTACTGTACTGATCAAAAGTGTATTCTATCAAAATATTAATTTCTCTAATATCTTCTTGTCAATGGAGAAAAAGCTGTACAGTATATCAATTTGTGAGTTCGCTGGATTTTTTTTCTCGAGAAGATTCTTCACATATTGTCAATAAAGCATCGGTTCAAGACGTGGACGAAAGCTTAAAATTTGATTTCGAGTTCGGTACTATACAGTATTTTAAATGAATCTTGTTTTCGATTCGTCTCACAGAATCAACATTCAGTACTGTAATTTTTACATTGGTTAAAATGATTTAAAGATGATCGATCGTGAAATTGCTTGCTTATGTACATCTTGTGTGGCTTGTTTTACAGGTGATATTTCCCTTCCAGTGGCAGTGCCCATACATTCCATTATGTCCCCTGGGCCTGGCCAATGTTTTATCCGCCCCGATGCCGTTTCTTGTTGGAGTTGACTCTAGATACTTCGACCTGTATGACCCACCGGATGGCGTAATTTGCGTAGACCTTGACACGGATTCTTTGCGAATTCCTCCGGATAAGGAGTGGATGTCTGCCAAAGCTCTACCCAAAAAATGCGTCAAGATGCTCATTTCTTTGCTGAAGCAGCTGACGTACAGGGTTCGCGTGATACAGAGAGAAGAACGGTGTCAGCAGAATGTTCATGATAAAAATCCTGCTGGGTTTTCCGATGCTGATTCTGATATGAAATGGAAGCAGAAGGAGGTAAGTCGACTTGTATGATTTTTCTTTTTGCTGGTAACGTAATTGCGGTCGTGCTTTCAGATGACCCTGGAAATGGATATTCAAGAAGCATTCCTTTATTTCATGGCTGGGATCTTGAAAGGCTATCAGCACTATTTGACCCCGGTGTCTTCCGAACCTAAAATGTGGGCATCTGATCCAGCTGATTTATTTGAATCCCCCGCCTTTCTAAGATCCAGGGACAAGGCATATCACGCGTTTTATAGCATTTTAGTGGAAACACAATTGTTCACGCATTTCATTCAAGAACGGAGCTTCACTTCATCCAAAGACGCATCCCTCGCCTTTTTTGATGTGATTATGGACAAGTTGGGGCAGGAGGAAGATGCTCCTGTCAAGTTGTTGGAGAGAGATTCTCCCCAAAATCAAATGGCTGCCATGATTTTACCTCTCGAGAGGGAAGATCTTCCCGAAGGAATCAGCTACACCTACAATGTGGGTCGCTTTTTTTGGCAGTCAAGAATAGCATGCCGCTTTCTGTCTTTTATGTGAAGTTCTAATTAGCAAAAGAATAATTATTGCGCGACAGAAAACGAAATGATGCTCAAATTCCTCTAATGCAAGCGTTTTTATCTTTCAGGGCATTGACAAGTTGAATTTGTGCTTGATGAAGAGACCAAAAATTACTTCCCACTTGCATAATTTCAAAGACAATGCTGTAGATGGCCTGGTGAACTATTTGCCGGGTGCCTCTCCGATGATTGCCCGAAGAATCAAACATGAAATCAGATTAGCCCAGAAAATTGTGAAGAAGCATGCGGACGGTGATTCAACCTGGGCCAAAGCATTGCTTTCGTGTTCCATAAGGTATGAACGAATGGATTATTTGAAAAGAATTTGTCAATATTTCGAACTTCAGTCAATTGAAGTTCTGAGTCCGGATCCTCTGAAACAGTTTAGGATACATTTTGGGACTTTGATCAAGCCCCTGCCGATTCGCTGAAGATTTTAAGCGAGAGCCACCCTAACTTGAGTATAATCTTGCTTACCAATTGACATTAATTTAAATGTACCTCTTACGTTCAGAATCGCGAACATCGGAATATTTTAATAGTTGAAAGATGTTTTTCAGATTGGGACATTTTCATCGAAACGATTTTTTCAATTTTTGAAGCATCAGGCAGTACTTAGATTGCCTGCTAATTCCTAAAACACGCAAGTGGGGCTTGTAAATTATTTTTTTATCAGTGTGACGATCATTCTGCTTTTTCTCCGTGTCATTCTTGGTGAGAGAAATATGTAAATAGTGGACAGGCAATGATGAAAGGTCACGTCAATCTTGATCCATAGTAAACATAGAACTAGTGGAGCTCGATATTGACAAAATTAGTGAATAAACCCCATTTTATGGTTGAAAAAATGTTCGTCATAAAGAAAGTTATCAATTTCTCATTTCTTCTAGTATCTGGTTTGCCCACCTGCCCTCTTATATCATATGGTACAAAGGCGACAAACTCGATGTCTTGGAGAAGGCGTACGAAAAGCTTGTGTTCGTGCAAAAAACGAAGTTAAAGTGGATTGACGAAGTGTGGTTCAGAGTGATGATGCAGTTGTGCAATCAGTACAAAGAAGGCAGAATGGCGGTGAAAGTCTTCTCACTGATGAAAGAGTTGCGAGTTGGGGTGAATGCGCTCACGTATGGCCTCTACAATCGGGCCATGTTGGACGCCCGATGGAACACGAGTATGTCCGACCGGGCGTCTGCACGTGCGTGGAGGAAACTGAGGTAAGAATTATTCGGTCTTGAAGTTCTCGGACTTTCAAATCAAATTCCTGTTGTACGGTAATTTCAAGTACTTTTTATCTTGAACACACCGCATGAACCTAGAAATGTTATCTTTGTTCAACATAATGTTTCATACAGGTCGATGAACTTTTGCTATTATGTTAATCCAGCGACAAGACCGCGACGAGGTTAATCTCTTTTCAACTTTTGCTGCTGCTACTTTACATGCAAAATCGGAGGCACACTGGAAACTACCAAAAATGACAAGAGATCAATTTGTACTGTTTGCACGCTTCAAAAAATTAATCCCAGAATAAGTTATGAATTTTTTTTTGAATGCCCATTGTCAAGATGGCCGAAAAGAAGAATCCTCCCATTTAAAAATTAGCGATAATTTGCTCGAGAACGTTAAACCCTCGTCGCATCAGTTGAGTGATTTTTGAACTTGGTCTATCGACACTCCTTTTTTCCAAGCTTTCCAATTTTAAAATTTCGTAACGTTTAATTTTTACGTAACTCTAGTTTTGAGGCTGAGGACTGAAAGATAAATTAGAGCAACTTTCCGTAACTTGAAGAATCTAATGAAAGTTTATTCTTTTTTTGATTCAGGTTAAACTCTAGCTACAAAGAAATTCAATGGGGTAAAAAAAATCCTTTTTGAGGGAATGTTATTCTAGAGAACGTCTATAATATGGTTATAGACTCCTATGCTTATGGGACAGCAAGCAATTCTTAATACAGAACTGAGAAAATCGCTGTAGACAAAATCCTTTTCGAGGGAGTCAACCTTTAGCGTGTGTTTTATTGGGAAAGTCCGTGAAATTCGAGAATGCCCACTTATGTTGAAAATTAATGTCTGCAGAAACATTGTTTGGGCAATCGCGTACATGAAAACGGCCGCGCACGCCAAGGCAGAAAGGAAATCCTCCTTATCTTCAGAAGGAAATGATGGCGGAACTTCCTGCGAGTCCCCGCACAGAAGCAACAGTAGCGTTGAGGCCGTATGTTCAAGCAAAGGTGCTGATGACCTGCACACCACTCCTGTCAAAGGAAAGAAAACATTCTTATTTCGCAGCCAACGTCACAACAGCGCATCGGAAAAAAGCAATCAAACTAAGACTGGTCACAAGTCGAAATTCAGCAGGTGAGATGTTCTTGCTTGAATGGTTTAAGCATATCATGGTGATAGTCGTGTACATTTCTTCTGGATTGTATTGATTCTCTCAAAAGGTGATCCGGGATCAAGATTTGAATTTTGGGAATTACTTATTGAATAAAATATACGGATTGCAGTATAGGCAATTTTATTGTATGTTTTTTTACGAACAGCCTGAGGTTGACAAAGAAGGGCAGTGGGTATCTGGGGAAAAAACCTAGTCAACCTGTTTCAGGCACTCACAGGTAAGTTCTTCGAGGGATCTGCTTTGTGTTCGATCCGTGGGCAGCACTGTTTGTGTAAAAGTGTCCATGTGGCATTGTGCGACATGAATGTGCTTCTGTTCGGGATGACTTAGTGATTGTTCAGCGATTGATTTTTCTCTCAATTTTTGAAGAGAAGTTTTCGTCCAAGGTTGTTGCTAACATTTTGTGACGTTGCGAGGGGTTCCTTAAAAGTACTGCGCGTGAAGGACGATCTTTATTTGTTGTGGATGAAACCTGGTGGTCAGTTTTGAGCTATTTTTTGTTTCTTTTGAATTAGTTTATTCTTAGGAGCATATGGACATGAGATACATGCTGACATTTTTCCATCTGGAGAAACTTGAAAAATTGCAATGACTCCAGTTTGTTAGTGATATTTGTTCAATTTGGACTAATATTTTTCTTCAGCTTTCTCAGCTGTCTTATTTAATGTCGCACTTGGAGCCATTGTATTTCCATGAAAAGTTATATTGAATATAATGCCTATCAAGAGAACAATCTTCGCCTCAAAATTATGAAAACCGTATAGCCATATACGGTATCTGGAATATGTATCCTCGTCCAAATCAAATTGTCCCTGAGGCGGTTTTCAAACTATTTTTAGAAACAGACCCCTCGGGAAGACTTGAGGGAAAATAACGCATACCCCTCTTCCTTCAAGAAATTCCCCGAAGTCCGAAACTGGTTCGCAAATCCAATATTTTCTTGAGTGATTCGCAAACTTTTCAGGAACTCCTCGCTAAGTTCTGGCTTTGATTTGGAGACGATTCGAATCGCGTGGAAAGTGTACTTTCCTGTTCTGTTTTTTGACGTGACTCGATGGTGATGGCTTGGATTAGAAGTAGTTGCCCCTGTGTGCAAGTCGGTGTGTGCTGCAAAAAAAAGGACTGTGATTCTTGATAAAACTGACGAAGATGCCCTCTTGTGTCAGAATGCTCAATGCCGATGACGAGGACAAGGAAGAACCCGACCCAGAAGACGACCCCGTGTTACTGGAACTCGAACACAAGGATTGCCCTATTTACGAGGACGAAAAAATTGTTGAAGATGTCGTCGTGTTACCAGACAAAACGCGCGCCGACTCTTTATCCAGCGTGGAAGAGTTCAAAGCCCAGGCTGCCATGACGGGTCAGATGATGATGACCTGGGGAGCCAAGTTGATCCAAGGCAGCTCGGATCTCGTTGAGAAGACGAAGAAGCGGTTGGGTCAGCCTGGGTCACTGTCTTCGAGCAGCAGTGTCGACGATCCCGACGTTTCCTCTAGAGCTGACAGCAAGAATCTGGAGTTGAAGAACGAAGAAACCTCGTCCGTTTCACCGACTATTGAAAAACACGAGGTGTTTGAAAAGGACGGCGGTGCTTCTCTGGTGACGATAGAAAAGGAAGAAGAAGAAGACAAAGAAGTTGTTTCTGCACATGAGGCAGAAGAAAAGCTAGATGGAACGCTGCAGTCGTCGACACACTTGACGCCACCCGACGCTAAGAAGCGAAGTGTGTCGCCTATGGCCCGATCTCCGACGCGAACGCCAGTGACAGAAAATGATCCCCTGGGTGCCTTGAGAACCCCCGAAACCCTGACTACCCCTACAGCAGCGACGCCCTTGACGGCGTCTTCATCGCACAATTCATTACCCGCCAACGTGTTTCTGTCGCCGGAATTGCGACCGTCGGCTCGCCAACGAGTGACGCTGGCGAGTTCGGATAAACTGGCGTTGTCGCTGTCGTCACTGTCGACCCAGTTGCGGAAAAGCGTGCGTTTGGGGAAGACGTTGGGGATGGCCAAGTCACCGGCAGGAGCGGCGCCGTCGACAGTGGCTAGACAACTTTTGAGTCCGCAGGCGGACTTGCATCGGTGTAACACGCATTTGGGACTCGTGGATTCAGGAGCTGGGAACAGTAACGCCGGTGTCAAGGCTGGGTTGACTCGTGGGGAAGGCATTGCTGGTAGAGCCTGGAGGTGATGTATTTTTTGCCGCAGTGACTGAACAGTTGAGCGTGTTCCAAAGTAGCGCCTGTCCGAAGTAGCGCTCACACAGTTTTGCCTGAATAACTCAAACCTTCCTAAGTCAAATACCGACCTATATCAAGTCCCTGTCTGAATTCCCTTTGGAACAATGCATTAAAAACCTCCCAATCTCGAAGGCTCTCCTCATCAAGCCACTATAAGTCGAATTTTATGGCGGTCTTCTGACTGAAATTTTATTGACACATGAGGAAAAAGAAAAGCATTAAAAAGGTAACGATGTGTTTTGAATGAAAGTGAAAGAATAACTAGGCAAATGAACCCTTGCCTCCAAGCTCAGCATCTGTAAACTAATTTAAGAAGCAATTCAAAGCCCAGAATATCACCAATTACAATTTTACAGTTACAATTTTGTTTCCCTAACTCGAATTTTTTGCTGGTCCCTTGGAAGTTCAATTTGGAAGAGTTTCATCTTTAGCTTATTGATTTCAGACAAAGCTGAAATTTTGTCGAGGTTAAACTTCCGAACAAAATAACTCCAGGAGTAAAATGGGGAAATGTATCTGCCTTTTTATTATTTCGGAATGCGATATTTTTTGGGGAGCGCTCAGCTGTCCCGGAAAACATTTTGTCACTCGTTTTGAAGAACACGTCGGTCATACCCTACGGTGTTGTGCTTGTTTGTTTATTCCTATCCGGGTTCTCTGAATTGTCTCACTGAAACATTGTTTTTCAACTCTTTTGTCATGCGTTCTGCACCTTTTTTGTGGGATTTTCCGGTGTTGCATGGTTTTGGTGATCTTTCCGGGAGGTGGTCGCTTTTCTCTCAAATTTGCGTTTTCCGTTCTGAAGTACTGTACGGTATTCTGGCTTAGGCGTGGATTTATTTTCTGAGATGAACATTGTGCTTTTCAAGTTGCCATCGGGCTTGGTAAAGGAACTCAGATGTCCGAAAATGAGCGGGAATTAGGGATCATAATTTTACGGATCGTGGTACATTTACTAATTATGAGAAAAGAAACGAAGGAATTGAAGTACCGATGCATTTGACGATCGTGAAAGAACGATACGATGATGAAAAGAAGAATCTCATTTCCAAGGAACTAATTATACTGTATTAGCGACATGGAATATTTATAAGGACTACGAAAGTAACGAATTCTTTTTATCATTGATTGGAGACTCGCTGTAGAGGAAACTCTTGCAGAGAGTAATAGTATTTAATGTTGGGGAATTCTCTGCCAGGAATTGGCCGTGGAATGTCTGCAACAAATAGATCAAATCTATCTACCGTATAATTTTCATATTTCTATGCAAGATTGTTCTTCCTCTCATTTTTTTCTCGCGTTCTTCCAGAATCAGTTGTTTTTTATTGTGATTTCTGCTTGCGATGTGATACTTCTGTATTCTCAAATTCATCTACTGTATTAGTCTTCGCTCGTTGTTCGGTGTGTGTGACTTTTTTCGAAAAATTCTTGAAGTGATTTTTCGGGTGAATGGATTGCTATGTGTCGTATCATCTTCTCTCTTCACCGTTTCATTTTTTATTTGATGTTCACAGAAATGATTGCATATTGTGCGAGAATCGAGATTTGTGTGGCATATCTAAAATTTCCGCGGTTTGTCTGCCATTTTTAGAAAAGAAAAGGTTCAATGATTTTTCTTTTTTTTCAACGACGATGCCCTCATTTCAAATGCCTGTATAAATATTATACGATTGAGTCATTTTTATAAAGAAGGAATCTATTTCATGGAAGAAACATTCTTTGAACCAAAGCCAAACTGCAGAAACTTTATTGCTGTCCAGCGATTTGTTTGCTGAATCCTGATTTTCAAAAATGTATTCAACTGAATCACATAACTCTAAAGTGTAGAAAACGCAGCTAGATATTTTTTTTAGCTTTTTTTTCGAAGATGGCAGCCCAACCCCTGGAAAGTTACTACCCCTCGTAGATCTAATTCCCTTCGCTGGGATAATGGATGTAAATATTCTTTGATCAAGCAATGATTGCCGAGAAATGAAAGAAATGTCTTTTTTTCTGTTTTATTTATGGTTATAGTGGAACTCCTTTGGGAAAGAACGGGGATTTCAAAGGGTCATCGTCGGAATTGTTTTCTGGGATGTCTTCGTCATTGCGAACGGCGGCCTCATCCATATCGAAGCGCCTTGACTCGTTCATGGACGCCGTCAATTTCTCTCCACCGCCGTCCTCACTGAGTTCCTTTCGACATAGTGGCGTCTATGCGTAAGTTCCAGCTTATTGGCTTTTATGACGAGTGTCTTGATCTGACGTGCGATGGGTTCCTTGAAAGTCCTGCGATGATACTTACAAAAATAAATTTCATGGATAAAATAAAATAAAATTGAATTTCAAAATGGAATTTTTAATTTTTTGCTCGTTTTATACGATTCTTGGTTGTTTTTCAGTGAGCCCATATGTCCTAAAAGTTCATGTTTTGGAACCCTTCATTGGAAAAGCTTTCCGTGGTGATTTTTTTTCGAAATTTCAATGCAACCTTACAAATTGAATTTTCGAGATGTACGGATGAGCTTTTCTCAAATATTGTCGGAATTTTTATATTTGAGAGACCTCGTCTTAATAAAATCATGAAAACGTAAGCTTTCGAGCTGTTTCTGCATAACTTTTCCACGCGCAAAGATGCGAAAATTGTTTCCTTGAGTGCTTTTCGCTGAAATGGGATGCAACGTTTTCTGAAGGAGTAACGGTACCCTGTGGTGAAAGGATAGTCATTTTGCTTCCAGTTATATTACTACGATGTGTTATTAATTCGCAAGGCTTTTGAGAAACTTCTTGGGAAGTGGAAGGAAGCAAAAAATAAAAATCTCACGAGATAACTTTTTTTTTTAATCTGTTGAGCGTCAGACGAAGAGCAATTTTATATGATGAAGTAAAAAAAATATTTTTGCAAGTGGAATATCCCTCGGAAAAAATCCTGTCTACATCGATTTTCTCTGTATAACGATTTTCTCGGTCCCTTGCGGATCTCTCCCCATATTATAGGGGTTCTCTACAAGGGATTTTTTCTGGTCCATTGAATTCCCTTTTAGATGAAGTCCACCTGCTTATACAATACTGTATATACGGTAAACACTACACACTGTATAGATATACAGTACCTGAAATATTGTCAGGACCGGTTCCTAATGTGAAGAATTCTTCAATTAATGTATATCGAAAGGTCTTCGCAAGAGGACGGAGATTTGTCGGAGAGCGAGCGCATGCGGGGTTCTCAGGACTCGTTGCAACGAGGGACGCCGAAGCGGGACTCGGATTCCCAGTCGCAGACGAGTTTGAACTTGAACGGAAGCAGCACCAAGGCGTCGTCGCCAGGCGTGGATCCGTTTATGAAGTCGTCTCCGTTTGCTGGGATGCTTGCTCGCCACTTGGCGACTGGGCCAGTTGCTTTGGCGATCCGGATGTATTCCTGCGGAACGTGTCATGGCTGCAAGGCCATGATGTATGACGAGGAGATCATGTCCGGATGGTCCCCGGAAGACTCGAATTTGAATACGAGGTTCGTCTTTTTGTTGTTGAGCTGACACGTGTGTGGGAGTTTTTTTTTTCTGATCGGTTTTCTTATTTTACGAGAGACGTTCGCGATCGCGGGATTTCTCATGTCATTTTGTAGATGTCGCCCGCCGTTTTGTGTTTTCTGGTTCGTCCCTGAGAGATTATATGTGGTCAGGTTATTTTAGCTTCTAACTTATCAGGCGATACCTGTCATGTATCCTTGAGTTGAAGAGTTCGACGCTGCGCATTTTAATGGAAAGAACTGTTTCTCAATTGCTAAATCTGACTTTTTTTCTTCGTAAGCTTATCGTTTGACGATGAACGTTTGACGCAAATGGGTTCACTGAAAAACAGTTTAATGTCAAATAAAATAGGCCAGAATTGACTATACTGGTTTGAAATTGAATTAAAGTACAGTACATTGAATTTAACCTCGTACATTTAATTTTGTGACATCGCAGGACTTTCGAGGAACCCATCGTAGGCCATGTAGACTTGATCTCTTAAGAAGTTGAGAAAATGTTTCTAAAGGAGTATTTAACTTTATTTCAGGTGCTCCCACTGCGGACATAGTGAAGTTCCGCAGTTGACCGTGATGATTCGGGATTTCCGAACTCGTGCCTTGCCAGAAGACTCTGAGAGTGTTCCAAATACGGAGGTACAGCCTAGGCCCGTGGCCGCTTTACTTTGTGACTCGAAGAAATTTTTTATGTTTTTTCTCCCTTCTTTTTTTTAGGAAGAAAAGTACGAAGGATTGGCTGTGGACCCTGTAGTTGTGCCTTACTTGTCACCGCTGGTCCTAAGGAAACAGCTGGAGTTTGTGTTGGAAAGTGAAGGAGATTCTTGTCTACTTGAACCTGCGTTTGTGGATCAGCATAGCATCATTTATTGGAATATGGTGGGTTCTGAAAATATCTCATGTTGGGAAATTGAAACGTAGTTCATTAGAAAATTGAGCCGTTTTCACCAGAATTTCAGAAGTTCCGCGCATTATGATAAGACTCAAATTTGTTTTTGCGTCCTCAGGTTTGGTACTTTTTGCGGATTCACGCGCCGTCGCACTTGCCGGGTTTGGCGTTGGGCGCCACTGTGATTAGGCCCGTGTCCAAGCAATTCTCTTTGCATCCGTCGTGGGAGAAGGCGACTGCGAGCAATGTGGAAGTCAAGTGTTATTGGGACGAGCCAGGGTTGCATGGAGTGGAGTCGAGTCCTGAGGACGTCGACAAGTTGTGGATGATGCCTTTGTATCTCAGCTGGCGTAGCACGAGGTCATCTCCGGCCCAGGTTCTGACTGCTCCGGATGATGTCACTCATGTCGCCGTTTACAAGTGAGACCATTTTTTTCTTTTCTTGAAAATGCGTGTGGTTTTGGTATTTTCTGGGTAGACTATTGGTGAACTCCCTCAACAACGATTCTCTGTTTAACGAATTTTTTGCTCTATAGGGTGCATCCCCGTGCTATAGGGGTTCCCTACAACGAAATTCTCTCTAAAACGAATTTTTAATGGTGCATTGCGTTTTATTGTAGAGAGAGTCGACCTGTATATAGAATACAGTAATCATGCAAATCATGGGGGTTACGTCTTTGCCCAATGATTTACTGTGACACTGTAGCCCAAGTATAGAACTCCATTTTAGTGAGGAATTTAAAGGTGAATTTTCACTTCAATGAAAATATGATCAGCTTTTAAGGTCTGAATTCTAGGGCAATTTCACTTTTAGGAATTGACATCCATCTTCTTTCTTCAGTGAGATGTTATCAATGCAAAAATAAAATATGCCATGTATTTCTTCATGTGCAATCACCATGTTTACCAGGGGACCATGAAAATGTGAACTGCTTCAAACATTGGAATTTCAAAAATCTTTCTAGAATTTGAATATGATGCTCAGGCTTGGCTGAGCGCCTCCAGCTTGTATAGAATAATTTTGATGAAAATTTAGGAAAACTTTTACTTGAAATTCCTTCAAGTTTGATTCTTCAACCGGAAATGTACCTGTGAATTTTTTTTATTTTTTTCTTCTACAGTTTATCCAAGCAAGTCCTGGCTGGTATCATGTCAGAGAACAAGTTGCTGCACCCGGTGGAACTCATCCTGACCGAGCTGAGGTCCAAGTGGGATGTGGAAAAATACGGTCCGCCGAATTCGGTCTACAGGGAAATTCTCTTCTTAGCATTTGTTCACTGCGGATTCCAAGTCATCGATATTTGTGAGTTGGGGATTCTTCAAATTCTGACGAATCATCTGAAAGAAATTTTTCTACTGTATCAATTTTTGGGCAACTCATTGAGGGTTGCGAGGAAAACGTCATCCCTTTCTGCCAAGCAGAATGTAAACAATTCAAATGTTCCAAATGCAGTAATTTGATTTGCCGGGAGGTTGTTTTTTTTTATAACACGGAAGGGTGTGCTAATTCATTTTTTTACGAATCCCTGAATTTTCAGGAGTCACAAATTCACCAATTTCGAAATAATGTAAACGAAATGCGTAGAAATGTAGCCTAACATCGTTCACTGTCATTAAGGGACTTGAAATTTACAGAGAAGCGTTGATTGATTGTAAAAATGAATGTGAAAAATGGAAAATTGATGAAAATGTGCTCACTTTTGAAATTTTAAGGCAATACCTGGGGAAGTACAGTACTGTAGTCGTCAAGTTTCAAGAAAATAACCATCCTTATAACGTCTAAATTTTATTCCGGATTTTTTTCTCATGCTCTCCACCACAATTTTACTTGGAAGTTTAAATGAAATCATATTAAAATTTATGTGATCCTTGCCTATGTATATCGCCGTGGAATGCATTTTTCGAGATCACCACGGCGTTGTTGAAATTGACCACCAGATTTCATCCACTTTAAGGATACGTGTTCGTGGCTCGCAATATTCCGCGAGAACCCCGTTATATCCCGAAAAATCGGGAAATGGAAAATTGAACGTCTTGGGGGGGTTTTGTTTTTATCAGGGCCATTTGACAGAGAGTACCGACGTGCCTACGAGTCCCTGCGCCAGCCTATCAGTGCGAAGTTGACAAAATTGGATGCCCCACCGTCCTACAAGACCATGTTGTGTCAGAGGTCTTTTGCCCAGCTGCTCTTGCCGTCTGGAATCCAGTAAACACTGTAATTTGTAAACCACCGACAAGTGACACTCGCATACGGCATATGTGTTCTTGCTCTTGTGGTTGTTTGTTTTTTTTTCTTGCTTTGTTTTCTGGTGAAGGACATGCTTCTCTTCCTTTTTAATGAGCAACGCCATTTAAAAAGAAAAGAAAGACTTGACAGACTTCGATGAATAAGTTTGGATTTTCGTCTCGAGCTCGTGTTGATCAGTTGCAAAGTTTCTTTTTTTTATTTGCATAACTTTTGAGTATCCGTTGAAATTGACACATTCCCGCAAACGTTCGGAGGATTTTTGGCGTCGATCGATTGTTGAAAGTTTGAAATTGTGGCCCACGGGATTTGTTGGATAAGGAATTCTGCGAACTGCTTGTTTGCTGCACCCAGAGCTTTGAAAGAAAGAAATGTTCCCTTTTGGGGAAACGAAGGAACCATGGAATGATCTATTCAAGCTTATCCAGGGTTTTTGAAATTGAAAAGGACTTTCGCCACCATTGTGCTTCGATTTAGGTGGGAACAAAGATGCCTAGTCAAGAGGTTTGAGGACTGCGTTTGTGAAGACTTCGTCTGTGATGGACTGTTGGAAGCAATTGACTCGAATGCTGCTTCTTGTTTTCCCTTCGATGTTTCAAGATTAAATTATGATTAAAATATTGAATTCCATCCCATTCAAAAACAAGTGTTGGAGCGTCTGAACAACAAGGGTTTATTCTTTTTCTGGCTTTTTAATCGGTTATACAGTATTGTTAATGGCCAACCGGTTTTGATGTCAGGGAAAATTTCCAGTTCAGGATGAAGTTTATTTTTAGACGTTTTTGATTAATCAGAAACGTGCTTTTTGAGTTTTTCGTCGTTTCGTGAAATGGTATCACTTTTCCCTTTGATGAGCAAAGCAAAAGTTGTTTGAAGAAATGATTTTTAGATGTACTGTATTAGGCGATTATTTCCGAATGAAAAAGAAAAAAACAAGCTTTTCATTTCGTTGTTTACGGATCCAGAACAACGTGTGAAAAATCATCACATTTAAATTAGGTGGGCCACTTAGTTTCTTCTAGGAAAAGAATAAAATTTGCGCGTGGTTAGCCTGAATAATTTGAGTTCGATTACGTTACTTATCGGGAAAAGTAATTTTCGCTTTAATGGACCAATGGTAAAATGATTCACCATGGGTATGATGACATTTTGGTGAGATGGGGTTTGTTATTCCCATTTAAAACAAAAACGAAGCCCAGGTGTAATCACGCATTTGAATCCAAGAAGTACCCATACATTTGCATTATAAGTTGTCTTTTCTAATTATGTATGCTCTACTTACTCAAGAACCACATGCCCTTGAATAAGATACGCACGGTAATTTTGCAGAGTGGGTTTTAGGGGAAATGTAGCCCTGCATGAAGCACGCATCCATGTTCTTGTTTGTCAATAAATTCGATATCGAAATCCACAATAGTTGTAATCTTAAATTTTGGAATTGAATGGAAGTTGAAAGCATAAAACAGAGTAAGCAATTAAATATCCGTGTTAGGCTCAACAATGATTATACAGTACATCGCATTTTGTCGTTATTTTCAGCTGATCCTGCAATTCGAGCATTGTGCACCCAAAAATTACAAAATTTTTGATCCCGGGATAAGATATGCACCCCAATTTTTGGAAAGATCTCCAGAAGAACAGTACGTGTGGTACTTGAGTAAGCATGGTACTGTGATTCAGATTTTAGAAAATATTACAATAACATACCTTGTTGACATAGTACATTAGTGCGTGGAAGTACTGAAGGAGATGCCTGGGCGTATCAAATCACTTGAGTCAACAGGTTTCACGTGATAGCATCTAGAAAATGTTACCTTGCCAATTAGACCAATTCCTTGCCATCAAATCGTGTTGTTCAGGGGCTCCTCGAAAAAGTTTTTCATTCGCAGGTCGTTATACTGCACCACTGCACAGGTTTTTCTCTTATTTGTGTATCCACAACTTTCTAGGTTTTCTGTCTTTGTATTGCAGTCAGTGTTGGTGTCCATCTTTTTTTCGGCTTAGGGGAGAGTGGTCAAGAATTTCGATTACCGACTCCGTCTGTGTTGGTATAATCAAAACGTGAGGAAAATATAGAGGAGCATGCCAGCTTCACTGAGATGACAAGAACCGTTTTTTTTTTCTGAATTACTGTACAGTAGAATCTTGTGACAAAACGATCTCGTTAAAAGGAATTCTAGTTTTCAACAAATTCGCTGTTAGTTTTGGATTATTTTTTGTTGCCGGAACTTCGGTCTGATAAGCCTGTCAAATAGTGACACTTCATTCGATTTTCTCGTTACATTTTTTTTTTATCGCAGATTCTTTTTCTTTTGAAAATGACTTTTTTGTAACAAGATTTTTTTCTGTGTTGTGCCCGTGAAGCTTTTTCGTGTGTTCCTTCTTGCTGATTTGATTTTGTCGTGCAGTAAATCACTTTTCTTCCCTCCAGGAAAGATTTTTGGTCGATTAAAATGTACAGTGACATTGAAGATGTGCTTCCTGGCGAGGCCGAGGAAGATGATGAAGAGGCCGAAGAAGCAGGGCCAGCCGAAGATGGCGAAAACAAGGAAAACGAAGGCAAGAAGAAGATCAAGGTGAAGCTTGTCCGAAAACCGATGCAGAAGTTGGACGAAGTGAGGTACAGTGATCTCTTCCTTTACACGGTGAACCTCACAATCCCAGTTCCCCCCGAAAAGAAAAATAATACGGTAATTTGTATAAGTTTACGAAGGGAAGAAATCCTGGCGTCTACAAGCCAATGTTCTATTATTTGTCACTGAATAGAGTAAATTCAAAATTTTGGGCCTTTTCTGTAATAAGAATCGTGCTGATAGGAGCCTGGGAAATCAGAGAAAATTGGAGAACTCTTCTGGAAAATTATCATTGAACGTTTTTCTCTGCGATTGTGGAATCTTGTCAAAGCAAAGTCATTAGAAGCCGAAAAATTATTTGTTATGGAGGAAAATTTATTTTTCAGGAAAACATTTCCACAACAAAGCTATTGGGGGACCAGGAAAAAGTTTCCTTGAAAAAAGCAGTTGTCACAGATAGACTCTTTGCAATGGAATTCAGGATACCATAAAATATATTTTTCAATAGTGTTTCCCTAGAAAAGGTAAACCCCTGTTTTGCCTCACTCATAAGAGAGCAAACTTCGTGCACTCTCTCAGATCAATATGCAAGATCAACTATCTTCCATTAACCACTCATTTCCCTTTTTCCAGAAGAGAAACTATTCTTCCCTAGAAAGGAAAAATGCAAAGAAGATCGTTATTCTTCCAGAAAATGACGGAATTCGCGACATTCCATTACTCAGAAAGATTGCCAATGTCTTGTCTTGTGTTGAATGTTGTATATCCCAGTGACAGCTGGTAGATAAAAGTACTTGGAGCCACAAATGTGACTCATAGTTTAGATTGTATATCCAGTAGAATAATCCTGCTACAATCAGCTAAAAGAAGAGGGACAACAATATAATTTTGTTGTAGAAAATCTCTGTAGAAAGGATATAGCAACTCCAATGGTACTGACAGCACAATTTCTTAATTCAGAGAAAATTCGTTGTAGACGGAGTCTGTATGTAGGATAAAATCCAAATGACTTTGGCTATTCGGAAGATACCTAAAAAATGATTTTTTTGTTAGCAGTAATTAGTTTTTTTTTTTTCAAAATCCGTTGTAACAATCAAATCCTACTGTATTGAGCTCCTAAACTAACATCGCAGCTATCCTAATTACAACTTGAGCAATAATTCTGTGCAAACACAAATTTGTTTTAACGAGATTCTGATTGTATTCAAATAATAGGGATGAAGAAAAATAATTGGGGTATGCTTTGAAAAATGAATCTTGTCTCCGTACTGTCCGTCAGAACGGTCAGATCAGTAATGAATAAATCGAGTCAGGATTTTTCCTATAAAAAAAATGACGTAAAATCGTTACTTTTACTCTAGAGCCTGTATATTAATTATTTTCTTTTTTCGAGGTCGGGATTCTTCCCTTTCTTCAACAATCTCACATTTGTTCACATGAATATTGTTTTTTTTTTGTCTGCTTGGAGCGCGTTAATCGCCTCGCGGAAATGCGTTAGAATCGTTATTTCTTACATGTGGTTATGAATTGCAGACTCTGTGGGGATATGGGACTTTCGAAGCTACCCAGCGAATTCAAAGACTTCAAGTGGTTGGGAAAAGGGGCCGAGTTGGAGGAAATGGACGCTGTTTTGCAGAGGGTCCAATTGTGGGCTCATCGCTTGTTTCCCAAAATGGCCTTCGAGGATTTCCTTCAGCGCGTCGAAAATCTTGGTGCGAAACGTTCCGTTCAGGTGAGCTCAGTCGACTCAGAAAAATCATTACCGAAATAGTAAGGAAAAGTGTGACATTGTGATGGGTTTCTTAGTATCCCCGTGGGTGGGTGAAAACGCATCATCCGGGGGAAGTGACGCCTGGTGTTGCATTTTCAGAAATTTATGGTTGATGTGCAGACATTTTTTTTTAAATAAAGCGAAACCATTCCATCACAAGCGGATGAAGCGAATAAATTCAATAACTCTTTGTGGGATCCTCCATTTTCGTTCTTGTATTACTTCCACGTTTCTCCGCGGTATTCTCAGCCATCTCTTTGAGTGATGCATGAGTACTGTACTTCCCACTGTTTGAAACACTTCATGAGGAAAATCGCTCACAAATTACTGACAGATCCTCTTCCAAAAAGTCTCAAGGGAAAGTGAGAAGAATGTGGAGCGATTTTTAGGGGGTTTCTGTTTCTGAAATCATTGTGTTTTTGATGAGATGTTATAACAGAAAACGTAAATTTGTAAGAAATTATTCCTGGAGCTTTGAACCACTTATTCTACAATGAGATAATTTATCAGGGCCCACTTCCTTTATTGAATTTAAATTAAAGATGATTTTTGATGATCAGTACAGAACCTTGCTTGGATCTGCCCCAGCCGAATTACAGCAATAATTTGAATATACTCAGCAGTGATTGTGAGAATGTCCGGAAACTTACACGTATATGAATTATTCTTATGAAATTATTCTTATGAAAAGAAATGTGTGGAAGAAGAGAATAGAATTCCTGACGTCATCATAATAACTTTATTTCAACGCTTGACTGAAAGGATGTAATTTGAGCATTGCTTCATCGTTCTTGGTGACTTCGTGAATTTTTCACTACACCAATCGAAAACGCAAGAAGGTCATAGAAATCCTTTTACGAGTGACACCTACCTGATGTTATGTGCGAGTCGAACGTGAATTGGATAAAATTGTTCATCCTTTTGCATTCATGGAGGTGCTAAGATTGAATGACCAGGATTTATTTATTCCCGTGATAATTTATACTCAACTTTTAACCCCTTTTATTTTTTTAAAGCAATTGCATCAGGTGGACTCTCGACAACAATGTTGTCTACAATTACTTTTCTGTAAATAACAAATTTATTTTGGTCCCATGGCGTTCTATTCCGTTATTTTAGGGTTTCTCTGCAACCAAATTTTCTCCGGAACGAATTTTTTCTGGTCCCTTGAATTTCGTTGCGGAGAGAGAGAGCCTACCTGTATTAAGATTGTCAAATTTTTAAAATTCTTATACTGTAGACACATTTGAGGAAAATGAGGATGGGAATGATTGACGTGAGTGGCGAGCCGGAAGAATCAGTTGCCGCAGCAGATGGCGTAACAAGAGGCGACACCGAGACGAACGACTTCGATTCGATCATGCGGGAATTTGAGGAGAGCCGAGCGAATGAACCGCCACCAGTTGTACCATCAGTTCGTCCTGTGACTCCTCAGCCAGCAACGCAGGTTGGAATGAGCAGTGTTTTTTTTATAATTCGTAGAATAGTGTTGTTACGAGGATGCACTGGACGTGTTTTTGGCTCGAATACTACGATGATTTTCCCAGTAAATTTGATGGAAATGCGAAGAAGTTATGTATAATTTAATTTTACTCATGATGTGTCAGGAATCTTTTTTTATTTAATTTTTAAGCACATTTCTTCAATGCAGTACTGTACAAGGAATGATGAGAAGTTAAAAATGTCAGGTTATATGGCTGAAGTTTACTTTTCATCTCACAGTTGTTGATAAAGTAAAGAAGAGAAAAACGTTTGTTGACACATTTTTAGACCTTGAAATTTTCAAAATTTGTTCTTGTTTAGAAGATCTTAATTTTCACTTATTAATTTTGAAGTTTTCATTTCTTTGGGTGAATACTTTCATCGCAATAAATTGTTTGGAATGGATTGAAATGGCGTGGCCATTTTTAATTCAAATATTTGCGAGGGAAAGAGAATAATCATAGCATCAATCTTCATTCAGCGAGTTAAAAGAAATCGAAAAATTAAAATGAAAACAAAAGCTAGTGAAAAATATTTTAATGCCCAGAAAATTAGCCCCTGCAAATTACTGAAAGAAGTAATCCTTGGACGAGGAAGCACCGTTTACAGTCTACGATATTATGCTTGAACTTTCCTTAGAGTTTCATCAAGCTGACGAAAATCGAATCACTTGTTTTGCAGTTAACGCAAGAGCAGAGGGAAATCATTGCCAAGAACAGGCTTGAAGCTTTGGAACGCCGGCAGAAATTTTTGGCGAACAACCCCTCAAGCTGACGTCTTTTTTTTTTTTTTTTTTAAATTTCTCTTGTCTTCTTTTTTGCAGACTTTTGTAAGCATCAGGTTTCATACCAGATTCGCAAATGGTGGCCTACAATAAAGAAAATGCAAAACGGTATATTTTTGTTTTAGTTGAAAATTTTCAAAATGTGCGAGAACCTCCGAAGCCCAAATGTGTCCAGGATTGAGTGGGTGCCGGCATGCCGCATCCTTCCTGTTCAAATCATGCAAGAATCATCCAATCGTTGAATTTTATGCATGATTGTATTCCTCAACCATGCAGCTGAATCGCAAATATATTCTACACTTCTACAGTAAAATATTTTTACGACAGAAACATGGGGACCAAGAAAAAATCATGTGGTGGAAGATTGCCATTAAACTAGAAAAAACATGAGTACTGTATTGCTGGGATGGGACCTTTCATAGTGTGACAAGATTCTGTGCTGTTGTATGATAAAGTAACATGTACTGTGTCAAGCTTTCTGTTACAGTAGTACGAGTGTACGACACATCACATTCCTTTGAAGTGCTGAGCAAATCAGCCCACCCATTCCCAGTTGGAACATTTAAAATCTTCAAATGAGTACTGTCTATATACGTGGTATTTGCAATTGAACGTACAATTGTCATCATCCAATTGGGATTGTTGTCAACGATTTATATTGATCTTTTCAAAGTGTCAACAAAACCTCTCATTTTCTGCAAATAATCGCATGAACTGAAATTCATCTGCTGGAAAGTTGACTACAGTGCATTAGTTGGTAAAAAAAAAACTTCGCTATACTAGCGACACCTATTGATTTGTTGATGACCCTGTAATCTGCAAGGGAGGATATGACCCCGTCACCCGGATAAGTAGTAAGGGATCCCTATTGGGACCCTTAGCTACGACATCTACCTTTCCTTAAGTGATACTTTAGCCGCCGACTGGACTACCCACCCCGGCTTTGCCAGGAAGCAGATGGTTATCGCGATCGGAGGAGACGCGGTAGAAGCCAGCGCTCCGGAGCGGCATTCGGACTTTTACTTTTGACTGAAACGGATCAGCTTTTTATCCTGGACTTATTGAAGTGACTTTGTGTTTGTGTTACGACGAGTCTGTTGTGATTTGGAGAAAGGAACTGAATATAAATTCTCCTTATTTAACTACGCTGGCCGAGGACCGATTTATTCGACCTTATTGGGGGTTCGTCCGGTTGCTTCCTGATCGTGCCGGCGTTAGTACGATGACTCGTAACACGGAAAATTCAAAAGCCGCGGCACAACCTTACGTGCCTCCCGCTCCAGTTCCCGACCCGCCCGCAGCCCCCTCGCCTGCAGGGTCGCCCACAGAGCAGGCAACGCCGGCCCAGACGCAACCAACGCGGAGTTCACCACCGACACCCGCCTCTTCAGGCAGTCCGTGGGACATCATCCCGCTACCAACGTTGCAGTTAGAGTGACTCCGTATGGCGGAACCAGTAGGTGCCCTGTTGTTGGCGAGCCCCATGCATTTGGAAGACCTTTAGTTAGCGTAGGGCGATAGCGAACGGGTCCCCACCTAAGGGGGCGGGCCCACCGTTTTGCGGCCACTTGATCTTCAGATTTCACCCTGGTCAACTCCCGCGCACCAAGAAATCGCGGTCGCGGGACCCTCGCCAGTACCCCCGGCAAGTGCTACGATGTATTGACCACCAGGAGAACCACAGCTTGCGGACCTCCCCAGGCAACGGGACAACGAGACTTTCGAGGACTACGCCGATCAACTGCGCCGCATGCCAGCCATCAATAATGTCTCCACGGATATGAAGGTATGGTGCCTTCTCAACAAGACTCTGCAACTGGTACGCGAAACGGCATCGATCCTGTACGCCAACGGAACAGTCGACTTCGAAGATCTTGTGGCAGCGATCGCAATTTCCCATCCCACGCCGCATCTTGACCGCCTGGACCGGTTCCGGCACCTGCGGCCGCAACAAGGAGAGAGCTTCATCAGCTTCGGGGGCAGGTTAGAGAACACGTTTAACTCGTTCCTCTCCCCCCCGGGCCAACCGGTCACCCTCGAGCTCCTGCGCAACAAAATGCTGATTGATCAGCTGATCGCCGCGGTACCTTCCGGGCTCCAAGACGAGTTGCGCAAGAAGTGGATCGACAACCGGAACCTGACGTGGCAGGAAGCCATCAACAAAGCTGAACGCCATCGCCTACATCAGCATGCCACGTTGCGAGCCGGTAATAACTCGAAACCGGCAGCGAAGTCAACCGGATCCACTCGCAACCAACGACAGTGGTGCGAAGGACATCATGCGTATGTGCGGCACTCACCCCAGGACTGCCGCATCCTCCAACGACAACAGGAACGTCAGACTCGAAACCGGCAGCAAAGTCAACCGGATCCACTCGCAACCAACGTCAGTGGTGCGAAGGACATCATGCGTATGTGCGGCACTCACCCCAGGACTGCCGCATTCTCCAACGACAACAGGAACGTCAGGGCGGATCATCAACCGACACAACAGGACCTGCGGAGACCTCATCAACCACGCGACCGGCGCAAAACTCTCAGGTTCCTCTTAATAATGTAACCCCTTCGGGTAAAACCTTTTATTGCTTTCATTGTCATGCGCCCGGGCATATTGGGCGCAATTGCCCTCTCGCTACACAGGGAAATGGGCAGGGAAACGCGCGTCCGCCACAGTGAACGCGGCTCACTGTGCGGAAACGGATGATTTGACCGCGCCTCCACCGATCGTAATTCCTCTGCAAATCGGCGATACTCATTTTCCGGCGCTCGTTGACACTGGCGCGTCACATGCCTTCATTGCCCAACCCTTGGTGGATACTCTTCAGTTAGCTTCTAAACCCTGTTCTATCCAGGTCCAAACTGCTCTCACGACTGACACTGCAAAAGTCTCACGTCAAGTCGTTCTCAACTTTGGTTTTCGGGGTTTCCAATATTCCATCACATGCCTTATTCTTCCGCACTTGGCAGACCCCCCCATTCTTCTCGGTCGTACAGCTCAGGCAGTAGAGGGCAATAGAAATTGCTAACTGCCGCTGGCTCGTAAACAGCCCAAAGTTGCCTGTTAAGTTTTGGCTCGATGCGGCTGGTATGGACACCCCCTCCCATAGAGAAAATAACTGCCTTGCAACTACGAACGGGATCAGGTAAAAAAGCTCCTGCTCCGCCACGCCGACCTGTTTCATCAGTGGTCGGGGCGCCGCGGATTTTTTCCTGAGCATACTGTCGCTCTCCAGACTACCGAGGGGCAGATTCCACATACCCGCTCTTTTCGCCAGTCAGTAGAGCTTAACAATTTCTTTGCTTCTTGGGTGGACGAATATCTTGAGGCCGGAATTATCGAGCCAGCTTCCTCACCCTATAATTCTCCTGCTTTCCTAACCACCAAAAAGAACTCCGACCCCAACGCCCCGCCGCATCGGCACTGGCGCTTGGTGGAGAACTATCAGGCAATTAACGATATTCTGGCAGATGACAGGTACCCCATGCCAATCATTCAGGACTTACTGGACGCACTGGGGAGACGCAACGCTTATTTCTGCAGCTTGGACCTGCATGCTGCCTTTCACCACCTTCCACTCTCTTTCAAGGACCGCCCGAAGACGGCGTTTTGGTCGCCCCGCGGGCAAATGCAGTACCGCGTCATGCCCTTCGGACTGAAAAACGGGCCAGCGGCGTTTCAACGGGCCGTCAACCACATTCTTCGGGAGCACCTGTTTACCAGATGCCTGGCCTACATGGACGACATAATCGTCTTCGGGGAAAGCTTCGAACAAGTTTGTGTAAACCTTGATCTTGTCCTTACAGCTTTAGGAAAGGCAGGAGCAGCAGTGGACCTCGCAAAGTCTACGTTCTTGGCCCAGAAAACTATATTCCTGGGCCACGAAATCGACCAAACAGGCACCAGACCACTGGAGAAGGACTTAGACGCCGTCCGCCGTTTCCCAAAGCCCGAGTCGACACGACAAATGCAGAGATTCCTCGGCATGGCCACCTACCTCAGGGCCCACCTACCAACAAATTTCGCAACATCCGAAAAAATCCTCCGAGGTATTATTCCAGCGAAACCAGCCACACGCCTGCGGTGGACACCCGAGGCAGACGAGGCGTTTAATCACCTGAAGGACATCCTCGCAGAATCGGCGCGCCTGGAAAGGATGGACCCAGCACGCCAAACCGAAGTTCACTGCGATGCATCGTCCACGTCATTGGGGGCGATTTTGGTGCAGATCGACAACGAAGGCAAAGCGCATGTGGTGGAGTATGCGAGCCGTACTTTAAATGATACGGAGTCCCGCTACACTAATTCCGAGCGCAAATTACTAGCTATCGTTTGGGCGGTAACTAAAAAACTCCGCCATTATCAGAAGGCAAAGCGCATGTGGTGGAGTATGCGAGCCGTACTTTAAATGATACGGAGTCCCGCTACACTAATTCCGAGCGCAAATTATTAGCTATCGTTTGGGCGGTAACTAAAAAACTCCGCCATTATCTCGAATTGCGCGAGTTCACGGTGTATACTGATCATAAAGCGCTACTTGGAGAACTAAAAACTACGCGGTTAATCTATTTACAGACAAAGCTTGCACCTTTCAGGGCAAAAATCGTCTACAAACCGGGGGGGTTCCTAAAGGGACCCGATGCCCTGAGTAGGGTGACCATCAATGCAGCCGAAATCCGCGAAGTTCCTGACGAGGAAGAGCGCCTCAAGATCATTGACCTGTATCACCAAGAACTCGGCCACGCGGGATGGAAGAAGATCTATCAAACATTGAAGTCCAGGTATAAATGGGGTTCCATCAGGCAGGACACCTGGAAACGCATTCAATGCTGTGCAACCTGCTTCAAATATAATGCCCCAACCACTAAGGTGGGGACCAAACTGGAACCCATCGTTTCGGCACACCCTTGCCAACGATTGACGCTGGACTTCTATGGACCTTTACCCACATCTGCTCAGGGCCACCGCTATGCGATTGTAGCGGTGGACCACTACAGCAAATACATGATCGTGAAACCAATAGCTAATGCAGATGCTACCACTGTGATTCCGTTTCTTGCAGAAGTCTTCCGGCAGTTCGGCCTCTTTGAAGTCATTCACACCGATCGCGATTCAGTCTTTTGATCCCGCGCCTTCCGTTGGTTCCTCCGAGACGCGGGGGTACAGCAGCATACAGCCCAGGCATCTCACCCAGAAGGAAACGGGTGCTGCGAGAGGGCCATCCGCACGTTGGGACAAATACAGGCCAAAGCAGTGGACGGCAACGACCCGACTTGGGACTTGCATATTACTAAATCTGTTTTAGCCTACAATAGTACGGTACATTCTTCTACAGGTGTTTCTCCCGCAGAGGCTTTCTTCCAGAAACCCCTCCAGCTGGAAGCTGACAAGGTCTTTGGCGTGGAACCCCCAGACAATAGTCAGCAACTCCAGCAAACAATAGTACGGTACATTCTTCTACAGGTGTTTCTCCCGCAGAGGCTTTCTTCCAGAAACCCCTCCAGCTGGAAGCTGACAAGGTCTTCGGCGTGAAACCTCCAGACAATAGTCAGCAACTCCAGCACATTCCGGAGACCAACACCAAGGCCCGCGACGCATTTTGCAGCACCGCGAACAAGAAGCTATGGCCGAAGTTCAACCCGGGAGATCTGGTCGCCCTCCGTCCACGCCTTCCCACGGTTCAACAGCACGCAGCGGACCGACGTTTCCGGATTCAGCAGCTCGGGCCGTTCATTGTCATCCGCTACTTGGGTCAGGGGGCCTATCACGTCGGAGCTGGCAAGGCCATTTGCCGGGCCAACGCCTGGGAACTCCTACCAGCCGGGGGCCGGCCACGGGCACCTGACCCCATCTGGAAAGAGTCGCTTCCACCGATATTCTCTTCTGCTAACCCCGACCCATACCTGGGCACGGATATTCTTTTCACCACCCCTGAAGTTGGGTTTTCCCCACAACTAAACGTTTTTCGGGACCACGACTATCTCGTGTCTACCCCTCCACCTCCACTTCTCCGTCCCGACCATACTTATTC